CTGACTTTGTCCCTGACTTCTCCGTCTACACCCTGAAGTCCTCTGACTTTAACTCCAACTACCCTTTCTACCCCATGATGTCCCCTAGCTTTATAACTACCCTGTCTACTTCCTGACATCTCTGTCTACTCCCTGACTTTCTCCCTGACTCCCTACTCCCTGATATTTCCTGACTTTGTCCCTGGTGACCCTGTCTACTCCCTGACATCCCCTGACTTTGTCCCTGACTTCTCTGTCTACTCCCTGACATTCCCTGACTTCTCTGTCTACTCCCTGACATTCCCTGACTTTGTACCTGACTATCTGTCTTCCTCCTGACTTTCTCAGTCCAGAAAAGTGGTTTAAAATGTTCTAGTTGCAAATTAAGGATAAGTCTTGAAAATTTTAGACTGAGCAAAATGCAACGTTTAACATAAGGTCAGACAGACAAAAAGTGCAATATGCCCCAGCCATTATCATGAAAAGCTCAAAAAATCACACACACTAAACTATGGTAGATAAAGCTGACAACATCCATTACCAAATAACATTTTTAAGGATGAAAATTGAATATAGAAATGCTAATAGGTAAACTGCGAGACGTTTTGACCGATTAAGCGATTAATCGTATCAAAATACATATCTCCTAGATTTTTTTCAAAGTACATGTAGCTCTTTCTGTATGAACACAGAAAAAAAAAAAAAAAATGATAGAATTTAAAAACATTCAATTTGTCTTGATTCTGTTTCAAAAACTATATTATTTTAAATTTCAGTTTCAGAAAAATTTTGAAAAAAAACAACTTAAGGAATTCTCAAGCTATTTTTTACCATAGATGTCATGGAAGGTAAAATTGTTTCAATAATTAAAAGTCTGAACTGTAGCCCTAAATTTACAATGTTTGTCTAATTATTGGATAGAGAAATGAATACACTCAGGGCCATTGAGCAATGAGGGATATTTTTCATGCCAACACATATTGCTACATGGGTCTTCGGTTTATAGGGTCTTATCCGAAGGACCATCTCCACTTCCCACAGTGGGATTCAAACCCGCGACTATATACAGCAGACAACAATGTTTAACTTATGAATGCAATATAAGAAAAAAGTTTTACTTAACAATATTTACTTTATTTTCTCTTTGGCATTAAATATAGATACTGCATGTATATTCATAATGATTAATTTAATAATTTGTAGTAGTTCAGAAGTAAATGCTTTAAAATGAGTATTAATACAAAAGAAAGTTACATAGAAGGAATGTTATTAATAATTAATTCATTGTATATTGTTATAAAGCCAAAAAATAGATATATACTCACAACCATATATTATATGATATGTACATTAGAATATCTAAATAACCTAAGGTAGCTAGGCCTCAACTTCACAATATTTCCTGGTTAATGTATTCTTTCCTGGGATCATTAGAATAATACAGCCCATAAAATACAGGTCTTAGCTGGTTACTATTTTGACCAGAATACCTCTCACCCCACTGCCTTCTTTCAAAACATGTTTTCAACCAAAATCAATATATCATATTGAAAATTGGGAATTTACTAAATTATTACCAAATAAATATTTCCTGACATATTTTCATACAGTATAAGCAGAATTTTTAGCAAGGATTTAATTTTGGCATTATTTGGCATAATTTTGGCATGGGTGCTGAGATTGCCAAAATTGAATATCGCTAAAAATTATTTGAGTTTTATTTGTAATTGCTTCTTAAGTAAAAATTTGAAATCACTAAAATTACATCTTGTTAAAAATGGAATACCACTTTTGAGGACAAATCACTAAATTTTTGTATTGCTAAAATTTCCACTTATATGGTAATTTAGTTGTTGACCACATTAGAATATAAGATTGACATCTGTTACATTAAAAATAAAAAAAAAATGTTATGATAACAAAAGGCTTCTTTTTTCAACAGTTTCAAGAAAAATTTATCCCTATATAGATCAATCATCTTCATCTGAAAAAACCATGTTTTAAAAACATATTTCTTTAGAATATATATTGAAATTACATACTTCATTTATTTGATTTGCAAAAACAAAATAAGCCTCCTATTTCATATAAATGTTAAAAACTTATATAAATTATTGATTCTTCATGAACATTATAGTACATGCTGCTATGTATCTATAAGTACAAAATACAAATGAGTAAAAAAAAAGAATAGTCTTCATAACAAAGAGAAATCACCTGCATAACATGTTTCTCTGGTCTAGATATAATTAGTGAATTCTAGTTGTAATAAATGAATCCTAGCTGTAATTAGAAAATCCCAGCTGTAATTTGTGTGTCCAGTCCTTGCTGTAATTACTAAGTTAGTAAATCCTAGCTCTAATAAGTGAACTCTAGCTGTAATAAGTGAAACCTAGGGGTAAAATGTGAATCCTAGCTGTACAGCAAAACTCATTCAGTACGAACACGGATATTGTGAATTTACGGATAAAGCGAAGTTATCTTGGATCCCCAGCTATGTTAATTTAACGAATATCTTATAGGGATATAATGAATTACGGATATAGCTAAGTAATTTTGTAGGTCCCTGTGACTTCCTTATCACAGAGTTTTACTGTAATAAGTGAATCCTCGCTGTAATAAGTGAATCCTAGCAGTAATTAGTGAATCCTAGCTGTAAAAAGTGAATCCTATCTGTAATAAATGAATCCTATCTGTAATAAGTGAATCCAAGCTGTAATTAGTGAATCCTAGCTGTAATTAGTGAATCATAACTGTATTTAGTGAATCCTAGGTGTAATTAGTGAATCCTAGGTGTAATTTGTAAATTCTGGCTGTAGTTATTGAAGACTAGGTGTAATTTGTAAATCCCAGCTGTAATTAGTGAGTCCTAGCTAGCTAGGTGTAATAAGTAAATCCTAGCTGTAATAAGTGAATCCTAGCTGTAATTAGTGAATCATATGTGTAATTTGTAAATCCTAGCTGTAATACATGATTCCTGGCTGTAAAAGGTGAATCTTAACTGTAATTAATGAAATTCTGACATAAGATGTTATACACGGTCCGATGAATTAATTGTTAATGAGTAATACAACCTTACCTGGTATATTGATAAATAGATTGATCAGGTAAAAAAAAATTGTCAGCATAATCTATATGTATAATTGTTTTAAGATTAGGAAAACAACTCTATCAAAGCAAAACATAATTTTAAAATGCAAAAGCAAATACAAAGAAGCTAAATTCGAAAGAAAAAAAAAGTTTTTTAAAAATTGAAAAAATTTATACTGAACATGTATATTTATCCTATATTTAGCAAACATTACAAATAAATGTTCTGCCACTACCTGTATTCATACTAACAGTAGTCAAATTGATTTGCTCAATTTATCCTTTTAAAGATGAGTTCTTTAGGGGGAAAATACAATAATCAATTGCACTTTGTTTTCTTTTTTCTCCTTAAAATGTGCTTTTTAATATTCTAGCTACTTGTAAAGAAAAAAATACTTCTATATCTAAAAAAATTAAAAATGCAAACATAAACAAAAATATAATTTTCATTTGAGGTAATCAATAATACAGTTAATAATCAACCTTGTAAATTGCACATTTGATCATTTAACAACTTAAGAATATAAACAAAAACACTCAAAGCACCAATTATGACAAAAATATTTAAAGAACCCAACAAATATGTTGGCTAATGACATATCTACTTAATGATATTAATAATTTTATGTTTCAATAAGGACAACTATGAAAATAGGGGGGGGGTTCTTTTATGTAAAAACACTTAACTACCGTTCAGTTTGTTTGTTTTTTTAAACTTTCAACTTACAGTAGATTTCTGATGAAACTTGTAATTTATATAAATACTATCTTTCCTTAAATTTTATTTCGTTAAAAGAACCCTTTGGTTGTTTGTGCAGAACTCATTGCATGCTTGCTACTAGAGTTAATGTAATCTTTGTAACTTGCAATGAAAACTGACATTTTTCGTCATTGATATTATGTATAGTTATGATATCACTGTGTTCCTGTATCATCACCATCAATAAAGTTAAAATGAATGCATTAGCCAACTTTCCTCCATTATCCCTGTGACTGATTACATAATTGAAACCGTAATAAAAACTTTGATATTGGGACAACAGAATCTTTAGAAATGATCACATGCACATCAGATTTTGTAGCAACTAGATGCCTCTTTAAATTTTTAATTGGAAAAGCGATGCTATTGCCTTAAAAACGGAACTGCTAGAGATTTCATAACAAAAAAATACAGAAGCCATCTTCTATTTTCTTTAAATAATGATTCACATCTTCCATCTCAGTTTTCTACAAAGTTATTTCCACTAATTTTTATGTAGAGTAATCAAACTATCTCTGGTACTAGGCTACTTCAGAATGTGACCAATGTAAATAAAATTATTAATCTGCTTGCATCATGTAAACAAAAATAACATGGCTACAAGATTTCCACACCAAAACAAAAACTAATTTCTGTTTACTTGCTTCTTGAATACATGCACATTGTTTTAATTTTCATGAACTGCAGTTGATGCTCTGATATATTAAAAATCATATTTCATTTTTATAGCTGATTCACTAATGTATTTTATGAAAAAGTTTTTTAAAAAAAAACAAACAATAAAAAATACAGAACATAAATTGCATGTAAAATATGCCAAAAGATGAAGACATTCTAATGTATTCCTTAACCTGCACCAAAACAAGGGGTATAGGCACTATATAAAGGCACATGTTTACTATAATTCTATTACAGGTTTCTACAGCTATCTACTTTTCTTACAGGTAACAAAGGCTAAATCAATGTTTTTCTAATTTCAATTATAGGGTCTAATTTATGAACACATTTTACTTCATGTATTGAATAGTTATGGATAAGATGGAAAATGTAACTGTTCTAGGTCAAGAGTGTATAAATTAGCCAAAAAATCTTAACAAATAAATAACAGATCAATAAATGGCCAACTTATATTAATTTTACTTGAATATTTTATTAACAAGAAGCCTATGGACCACTACACTCACCTGAGCAACTTTGGCCATGCTGTTCATCAGCATATTTTTTCTTATATATGATTTTTCCCTATTAATACATCCCTATATAAAACCTTTATCTCCTATTAACTACAACCTATTTCCTTAAAACAAATGAATAGAACATAACTTTAAATGGCATGCATCACTTTCTTGCCTGATGACAGAATATAAGATTCCAGCCTCGTCTTGAGAGTAAGCGGTAGCCATTCTCGTTCAGATATTTCTCTGTCACATCTGGGAGTTCAAATGCTCTTTCATGCAGATCTTCATAAATAATGTATCCCGGACGGAATCCCAGGTCAATAAAAGAATGTAAGATCTGTAAAAGAAAAGTTTCACAATAAAATATGCAATATTAATGCTATCTGAAAATTAAAAAAAAATTATATTAACAATTTTGTATTTCTCTATATCCATTAAACTTCATTTTAGGGTAATTTGTAACACAACTTTCTTTTTTTTTTTTCCATTGTTACATTAGAATTATCAAAAATTAAACTGAATAATTAATTATAAAATTCTAAAATTAAATAGAACATGCACTGCATAGGAATACCTGGTTTCCAGTGCCCTCTGCATCAATGGACAACACACCAAAGTACTTAGGGACGTTATACTTGGAGGTGAACCGTCGGACAGTGATACTGACCACCTGGATTATATCGCCCTCGGGAGGGTTGTCTGGGTAATATTCCTCCTCCGCCGCGATGTGGCCCTCCATGTCCACCACGTCTGACCGCCGCAGGAAGGAGACAACTCCAGACTTGTTGCTGATGACGTTTTTTATGACTTTTACTGTTTGATTGTTCTCACGATAAGGATTCACATACCTAGTGGAGAAAATTATATAATATCATAGAACAAATATAGGCAGTTTTGATATATAAAGAAGAACATGTTAAAAATTGAAAATAAAGGATATTTACCTGACAACATTTTTGGCAGCCATTTCAGCCTGCGAGGCTTGGGGCTCCACTAATAACCCTGACCAGCCCATCTGAATGAAGTTAAATGAGTTGCTAGATAGAAGCCCATCATTTGCACCAATGTCTACCACTAATCGGGCATATGGAAAATGTCTCCTAGCTAGGATGTGCTTATAAATGTACAGAAATTCCCCAGAATGAGATACGTCTAATCCAAATGTTTTTATTTTCCTCCCCTCGGATCCTCCATCCTCTATCATGTATACCCTCTCCACAGTATCCTGTAAAAGGGAGACAAATCCCCCCGCCTTGCCCCTGTAAACTAGTTCCCGGACCCATCGGGCTTGTTTCATATCCTCTTTCCAGTCCACATCACCGATATTAAGCAGAGGACCAAACGTTCTGTGTATTACTCCCAAGCCATAGAATATGAAACAGTTAAAGAGGAGTAACTCCAACACCAGGAATGTAACAATTATAAGACAGAGCCACTTCAGGGACTGCGAGGGAGACAGGAAGCTGAATTTCCTCATGCTGCCATCTGGTGGTCACAAAAAACCTCAACTGCATTAAATAAAAAAAACAATAAAACTCGGGAAAAAAAATTAATTTTGCTAAAGTTGCAATCGTAAAGAAAATGTCTGAAATATTCACTTCAAAATGTACACAGAACTTTATATAAAAGGTACTTTAGTCATATATTATTACATAACCTTGCCAATGTCGAAAAAATCTAAAAAATCTAAATCATGCAATTTTCTTAAAGCAAAAAGATATAGGCCTAGACTCCAATATATTAATCTTAAAGGTAGAAAGGGTTAGGAGGGGTTTTCCTGGCACATCTGAAATCTTTTTAAAGGGGGAGAAATGCATGAATCTGCTTACTTAAATTCACATCCGACCCCCCCCCCCCCCTGTTTTTGTAAGCTGAATCATTTGACCACTGATGCTGCTGCAAAGTTATAATCAGTTTTTGTGTCAGAAAGTTTTGGTGTCAGGAAAAACACTTGACACTAATTGATTGACAAGAGTAATAAAAGATCCTTAAACCCTAGTCACATTTCCAAAAGGTTTTTGATGGGATAAATAGGATTCTTTGGGCACCAGTCTGCAGTTCATGGTCATTGTTTTGCCTGGTTTTTAAAATCTTTTCAGATTGGCTGATTAAATTTGTGTCCATCAGGCAAATATACAATATTTTATGGGTCAGCTGCTGATTCCTTCAATTGAAGCAGTCAATGAATTGTCTTTCCAAGTCAATATATATATTTATCTCCATAAATTTTATGCCTGTTTATTCTACATGAGGCAGAAGTGGAATTCTGTATATCCTTTAGTAGCTGCAGATCTGTAGCGTTATGGTTTTATATATTTGTCTTTGACCATAACGCTACAGATCCCGTAGTGCAAAAAAAGTGCAATTTACGGCGCAAAATTTTTTGCGCTCTTTGGGGGAGAATTTCTCCACTTTCTAGCTTTGGTCAATCAACTACCTTTCACTCCCTAATTCTAGACACATTCTGTAGCCAATATGTATAGTTTATCCACCTCCCAACCATTTATAGTTGTCTCTACAAGCAATAAACTCGCTGGATATGAATTTTCAGTAATCTAACAAATAATTTTAGTCAAGCGAGTTTATCACTTGTAGAGACGACTATAAAGGGTTGGGAGATGGATAAAATATACAGATTAATTAAATAATGTGTCTAGAATTAGGGATTAAAAGGTAGTTGGTTGAACAATGCTGGAAAGTGGAGAAATTCTCCCCAAAAGAGCGCAAAAAATATTGCGCCGTAAATTGCACCTTTTTTGCACTACGGGATCTGTAGCGTTATGGTCAAAGACAAATATATAAAACCATAATGCTACAGATCTGCAGCTAATCCTTTAGCACCAACTCTTGCTGCCTCTTGTTGATGTTTCAAACATGGTTTTATGTGTTTTGATATGTATATATATGTATACCATAAATAATACTTATGCACATTTTTTGTACAACAACCCATCATGCATGTCTATATATGAAACTTAAAAATGCCACCAACACATATATCAGTATATATATACTTAATAGAAGAATTGCTCTTCACCATATGTTGTATTCTGTCTATTACTTTATCATGTTTATATGTAATTATATATGTTATATGTTTATGCCCAATGGGGCCTGATTGGTAATAAATTCTTTTCTATTCTATTCTATATAGGTTGGTCAACATTTTGGATTGGGTTTTAAAAGTTGTCCAAAAGAGAAAATCAACCTGCAGCTCAGCAAATGATGATCTCAGGCGAAGCTAGGCTGATTTATGTCATTAATATTTTAGCTTTTAAAGGCATATTGGTGTTCCTTGGAATTAATGTTTTTTACTCTGTCTCGTCCTATATACTACTCAGTGTTAGTCCATCATGTTGGTTTTTTCAGCCAAGATAAAAAAAAAATGGTCTCCTGACCATTGGCTTAAATATGACCTCGGTGTAAGTTTGACAAGTGGAGCACCAGAAACTATCTTCCATATTCAATTTCTAGAAGGGGCACACCTTTGTGAAATTGTCTTTGCACAAGCTGAATACAGAATAGTCACCCACTTTTGGACCTTGTACCAGAAATTGTATTTGTGGGGAATATGACTACATTTGAAATTTCACACATAAGTGAAAGTCACTAAATGCATCCCTGACCAATCTTTGAATGTAGCTTCAAACATAGATCTAACTTGACAAATTGGTAAACAAAATCACTCAAAGAAATTTTCTTAAATGTTACCTAGCGTTGTCTTGAAGTTACAGATGAAACAGCTGAAAACATCACGAGAGCATGGATCAATGTCTACTTTTTCATCTGTTGAAACAAAATGTCAATAATGATAACATTTCGGCAGCCACAAACTGCAATAATAAATAGATCGGGTTCGGGATTTGAGAATTTACATGGGAGATCACTCTAATATTGAATTATGAAGTAATCCCAGCAGGTTTGATTATTTTTAAGTAGTATAAACATAATTCATAAGCACAATTAGGCGAGGAGTACCGTGTATTCATTTTAGAATTGCATTTATTGAAAGTTCAGAATGCATAATGAAATATGACAACGCATAATCTACAAAGATCCCACTTTTTCAACTTTGGTCTACCGACTGGATGTTTAAAATCAACAGATCAAAGTTATGTAAATATGTTGCATTCATGTTTGGATCCATCAGTTCTTGCAAATTCGAGATGCAGTGCAATTGTTTGGTTGAATATCTATGTTGCATTATCTACAACTTGTAGATAACAAAATAAGTCTTTATGGGCAATAACTCTAGCTAAGCTTCAGTAAGTTCAGTAGATAGGTCATTTGTTTTGGGCATTTTTTTGTTATATGGTATTAAATAGTGGGATTGAGCTACAACAATACATCAGGGTAGTGCTAGCAGATATTTACACAAGAATGACATATTTTTCAACTTTGTAAAAAAATATTTATATTTTATACTATGATAATTCCAATCTTCATTTTATCTATTGATTTCCTGTGTTTTGATTGGACGAGAACACGTTTAAGAAAAATTTTACACATCGATAAATTCTTTTTCAATCAGAACTACTTTCTTGAACTAGCTTCTACATGTAGGTTATCGTATAAACAATGAAAGCATCATTTCTGGTTTGTTTTGGCTTAATTATGAATACAAAAAACTTTAAATTTAATTAATTAAAACAAAACTGGCGACATACTAGACTGCCCAGCTGACGGACGCCAAAATGTTTATGTCACTGTCCGATCACGAGTGTGAAGTTTAAAAATCGCTGTCTCAACGTTCATAATCTGATATAATGCGAAGAAAATCAGCTCAGTTTGTATCGTTTTGACAGGGAAAAGAAACGTACCTCAAACTCTTGCATCAAATTCATATTTACTTTCTATATTTTCCCTCAATCTTTGAACAAACAAGTATCGAATCGTCGTCGTTCTGCAACTTTCGCTATGACAGATGTCATTTATGTCAACATGGCCATGGTCAAGGACGAACTATTCTGAAGTAAACTCGTAGTTACGATATATGTTGACTTAACAACATTCGATAAGTCTTTTATAAGTTTATTTATCGATTGTTTTGACAATTTAAGCTGAACTCTATCGAAATTCATCTCGATTATGTTCCTTTGCAGTAAAATGTATTCCTACGCCGTCCAGAAATAACGGATTGTATGGAGGCCACAAAGAGAAATAATTTAAATATTTTTAAACATTCGATATTGGAATTATAAGAATTAAACGTTCTTTTTGAAAAATTTATTGATGTGTAAACTCTTGACATTTTACTCACAAACTTAACATAAAAGTGCTTCGCACTTTTATTTAGTTTGTGAGTAAAATGTCAAGAGTTTACACATCGATAAATTTTTCAAAAAGAACGTTTAATCCTATATTAATTTCTCTTTCATATCTCAAAGATGGCATTATGCACAGATTTCCATTGAGTGTTCTGAGGGCTCCAAAACTTTCACAGTCTGTGAGCAGCCAGATTTTATCCCCTAGAATCCAGGCTTCAGTGGTGATGGCACAACATAGGCCCAAAACAACTAAAGCTGTTATATTTGATCTAGGTGGAGTTGTCGTCCCATCTCCTTTGGCTGCATTTCAAGGTTTGGAACTAAATATTAATACAGCTAATTCCAGTGGCATATCATAATGTTATCTTAAGACAGGGTTGTCCTTAAGATTTAAAATAGCAGGGGACATTAAAAGAGTAGAAGGGGATCTGGGGTTCCTCTGCTAACAGGACAGTGAGGATGAATACCAAAGGGATAACATCATTATAGGCAGGGAAATTCACCTGCCAATAGGTCTTAAGGACAACGCCTTTATGATTCCAGGCACTTTCAAAGGGTTTAAAGGTCATATGTAATAAAAGTGTACACAAGCATTACAAAGCACCTTACCCACTGACAATTTTTCAAAATATCCCTTATTTAAAATTGTAGTACTGTACCTTAAATTTCAGGTGTTCTGATAACACTTATAATAACAAGGGTTTTAAAGAAACATCAAATGATGAAAGTCTATTTTATTCTAATCTCAGTATATATTAGAAGATGTTTACAGCTTCATTTGGAATTTCAAAAGTCACAGAAAGCTCATGTAAATGCACAGGGGTTAAAGAAATAAAGTTACAATTTTTATTGCCTATGTCCGTAAAATGAAAATGTAGATACGTTTTTCATTAAAAAAAATTAACTTCAATTTTTATACCCCCCGCAAACGAAGTTTGGGGGGGGTATATAGGAATCACCTTGTCCGTCTGTCTAGCTGTCTGTCCGTCCGTCCGTCCGTCTGTCTGTGCAATCGTGTCCGGTCGATATCTTTCTTACAGAGGGACATTAGAATCTACTACTCCACACAAAGATTGCCCATGACCTAAGGGTGTGTCATGAACTTGACCCAAGGTCATTTGGGGAAGTTCAAGGTCACTGGAAGAAAAATTTCATAATTCGTGTCCGGTCCATATCTTTCTTATGGGTAAAGTTGGTAGGTTCTCCTTTCACACAAAGATTGCCCATGATGCAAGGGTGTGTCATGACCTTGACCCAAGGTCGTTTGGGGAAGTACAAGGTCACTGGAAGAAAAATTTCATAATTCGTGTCCGGTCCATATCTTTCTTATGGATAAACTTGGTAGGCTCTCATTTCATACAAAGATTGCCCATGGCCCAAGGGTGTGTCATGACCTTGACCCAAGGTCATTTGGGGAAGTTCAAGGTCACTGGAAGAAAAATTTCATAATTCGTGTCTGGTCCATTTCTTTCTTATGGATAAACTTGGTAGGCTCTCATTTCACACAAAGATTGCCCATGGCCCAAGGATGGGTCATGACCTTGACCTAATGTCATTTGGGGAAGTTCAAGGTCACTGGAAGAAAAATTTCATAATTCGTGTCCGGTCCATATCTTTCTTATGGATAAACTTGGTAGGTTTTCATTTCACACAAAGATTGCCCATGACCCAAGGGTGTGTCATGACCTTGACCCAAGGTCGTTTGGGGAAGTTCAAGGTCACTGGAAGAAAAATTTCATAATTTGTGTCAAGTCCATATCTTTCTTATGGATACAGTTGGTAGGTTCTCCTTTCACACAAATATTGCCCATGGCCCAAGGGTGTGTCATGACCTTGACCCAAGGTCGTTTGGGGAAGTTCAAGGTCACTGGAAGAAAAATTTCATAATTCGTGTCCGGTCCATATCTTTCTTATGGATAAAGTTGTTAGGTTCTCCTTTCACACAAAGATTGCCCATGGCCCAAGGGTGTGTCATGACCTTGACCCAAGGTCATTTGGGGAAGTTCAAGGTCACTGGAAGAAAAATTTCATAATTCATGTCCGGTCCATATCTTTCTTATGGATAAACTTGGTAGGCTCTCATTTCACACAAAGATTGCCCATGGCCCAAGGGTGTGTTATGACCTTGACCCAAATTCATTAGGGGAAGTTCAAGGTCACTGGAAGAAAAATTTCATAATTCATGTTTGATACATATCTTTATAAGGAGGTATTTTGTCCCGTTTGGACAGTTCTAGTTTTATATTTATTTTGTACGCACAACAGAATATGAGAAGAAATTAGGGCTCCCGAGAGGAAGTATTTCTGGCGCTGTGGTGGAGAGTGGAGACAATGGGGCGTGGAACAGACTGGAACGCGGAGAGATTTCTCTGTCAGAGTTTGCCGACAAATTCAGTGAAGAAGTCTCCAAAAAGGTTGTATTAGAAATTAGCTCCATCTTTATCTTCATCAGTTTCATAAAAAAACAGACTGGAATTTATTCTGTATCCTTGAACCATGTCATTAAGACATAATTAATGTACAGTAATAAAAAAAAAATACAAATTCTGTATATATAGTATAAAGACTGTACATATCTGACTGAAAGAAACTAGAGAACAATTGAAACAGCCATAGGTAATTTGACCTTAATTTCTTAACAGGCAGGTAAAAGAGCAGACATGTCTGGTTTGATGAAATTCATAGGAAATAGCCTGATGAAGCCCAACCAGTCCATTATAGATGCTGTAAAGTCACTGAAGATAGAGGGCCTGAAGACTGCATTACTGACCAACAACTGGCACTGGGAGGGGGAGGGGCCAAATAGAGTGATGGACAGGTAGTAATAAGCATTATTTTAATAGTTTTTGTGTACATTTTGAAAAATATTAAACCAGGTGACATAATGTAAAAGCAGAAATATTCGTGGGGGGTTAAATTTTGTTTATTTCGTTGTTAACAGTTATCAGAGAAATAAAATCCCACACAAAATTTCTATTTGACTATGAATTGGATAGGGTTAATTACTTTCAAAACAAAAAAATTAAATGCCCACAAAATCATTTTTGATGACAAATCAACAAGATTTCATCCCCATGAAAATTTGTGCTTCCAGAGTACCTATAAATTATACCAATTTTTTCTTGATATGTATTCCTGTTTTTCTCCACTTATTTAAAAATAAAAATAAACTCTTACTTTTAATACATATACAGTGAAACTTGTGTAAAGTTGGATGTTATGTAATCTGAAATATTTGCTAATGATATGAAAGATGTTAACCTAAGTCCATTTCAGTTCATTCATTTATTTGAAATGTCTTATCCAGTATATAGTCTAATCCGGCCATTTTCTTTGAAACCAGTTGTGTCTGTGTTGTCAATAAAAATAATTTTATAATAATAATAATAGTTTTATTAGAATTTATTTATCATATATGATAGAGACCTGTTTGATGTGATTGTGGAGTCATCTAAGGTTGGAGCACGTAAACCAGAGAGAAGGATATACGAGATTTGTTTGGAGCAGTTAGATGTTCGAGCGGAGGAATCAGTGTTCCTGGATGACCTCGGAGTAAATTTAAAGGCAGCGAAGGCACTGGGTATCAGAACCATCAAGGTATTACAACATTGTCTTTTATAAAAGATTGAAACCATGTTAGGGATGTTTTCATTGTGAGAAATGTCCACAAGTCTTAAGTATATATATATATATCCAGGGCTTTCAAAATCTGTCGTTACCGAGTACTTTTATTTTCTGAAATCAGGATTGTACTTGCCTAAAAATATTCAGTGAACAGAATTCATTACACTTCAATTAACTGGCGTCTGCCGGGTACCTCCTATTTTTGTAAAAATATATCTTTTTTCAAATCATTTTGAAAGTCCTGTATATCAGCTTTCAGTACTGTAGAAGTATTTTTGTCTGAGTGACATTAATTTCCTCACTGTATGCAGTTAAATATTTCCAGTACATTTAAGATATAAAGAGGCATTCTGAAAAAAAATGCCTGTAATCTTCCACAAAATATAACCCAATGGAAATAAGTACATTCACAATATTTAAAATTTGATTGAACTTCCTAGGTCTGTCAAAATATAAGTATGATTGACAGGTTTTAATTGTTGTAGGTAACAGATCCAACCAAAGCTGTCCTTGACCTTGAACAGGAAGTAGGAGGACTTTGTCTGCGTCGTTTTGTTGACGATACGACCACCGTCCCAGAGCACCTGAGGATTCCGATGGACAGACTGGAGACGTACTTCAACCAGCAGCTTAATCTTCACTCTCCAGGTAAACTGTTATGTACAGATCAAACATTGTGGAACAATATTTAAAACATACAGATTAATCTACAGGGAAAAGGGTTCAAAATTGGCCAGTGTTTAATATTTTGTTAAATAATTGAAATAAAATTTGATTTTTTTTCACAAGTTACCTGAGGTATCTGTACGTATATATACATGTACATACTTATATGTAGAGAATGTAACTGTGTTGTTTGTCCAGGATATTCATGTAACTTTGACCCATCTATTTTCTTAAATTCTTGAATTATTATGCCTATATTCACAAACATGTACATGTATATGAATTTCATAAAAATTTTAATTTCTTTTAAGAGCCCCCTGTTATAAGGTGTTTCCGACACGGACAGTCTAACCCAACATACTATGTTTACTACGCAGGGAAACATCTTGTTCTACGGAAGAAACCAGTAAGTTAAGGAAATATACTATAGAGATTATGGGATTGTCATTAGTTTCTTTACACTAGTTGGTCTCAAGTATCTATATTTTACAGGGGGCAAGAATTCGTACCCACTATTAATTAGAAGTAATATTTAGGCTAGAAAAGAAATTTTTTATTAAAGGAAGCTCTAAACACTAACAGAAACTTCTTTTTCGGCTTGGATAAAAATATATAAAGGTGTGCAAATTGAGACTTTTTCATTCATTCATAACAAAGGGTACCTGCCTTATTTCTGCAGGAAAAATGTTCAAAGACAGTGGTCTATTTGTGAGCAGAAATCACTGCTATTTACTAACTTTGAGAAAATTAATGAAAATAATGAATTCAAATACTTATTCTTGATATTATACGAGGGTTGTCCCGTAAAATCGTGGACAAGTTGTCTTGTGTAAAAAATAAACATCACTGCGTTCTGAAATTTTCACTATTATTTAGTACATATTTTAGTAATATACACAGCAAATTTCAGATAAATATATGCATAAATTAACAAATTATGTGATTTTATGCCATGTATTGTATCACTTTACGGCGCATGGATTATAACGTCAAAGTGTCTAAAACAGCGTCACGTTTTATCTTTGCTGAAAATGAAGTTGGATGATTCTGACTTAAATTTAGGAATTTCATTGATACATATTCTTTAGTCTCCATAAACAGTCGAAGAACCAGTTGGCACCCTTATGCGATCTTCTGAAGATTTATCAGTAAGTTACGGACAATATTCCCACCATCATTCAACTAATACAAAATCTCATATCGGCAGTCTACTGTGACTGCGACTTTTGCTATACTACATTAGGAGTTTGTCCGTATGTTTTGTACTGGGACTATTTCGCTAAGAAAACTCCTATTTCATTTGTATACTTAAGATGTAGTGATATTTTTATAATCTTTTTTCTTCAATGGTCATTTCAAGTCTCTAAAGGTGTCATTTCAACATCGAATTAAAACGGAACTACTCTCCGGTGCGCCGTAACGTCATAAAACGTCACCATTTTTCGTGTGTTGTGTTTACCACTTTCCCATTTCTCAATGTTCGAGAAAATGCCAAAAAGTTTTACAAAGACTACAAAATTGATTGTGGAATTGAATTAGGATAATTTTAATCCAAATCCTATGTATTTAAAACTTTTATTTTGAATTCAAACTTGTGTATTCTTTAATAAAACCTTGGATTTTTGTTGCATATTCAAGATACTAAAATCTTTATTTTTGCCTATATTTTATCAAAAAAATTATCATGCACTTAAATATGATAAATAAACATTTACTGAAATTTTCAGCTTAGTGCGCCTATTACTTTTCGAGAAAAACGCTTTGTCCACGATTTTACAGGACAACCCTCGTATAATGCTAAAAATATTTTAATCTATTACAGATCGTGAAATTAACTGTAAATAACATTTTTTTTAAAATCTTAATTCTAAGGGCAGATCACTCTAACTGCATAAAATGACCCTATAAGTGGAGCTCTTTAGTGTGCAGTGTTTAGAGCTTCCTTAAAGACAGTGAGAAAAAAATTCCCAATTTGTTAATATCTTTTTCTCCTGATCTATTTATAGCCTGGTAAACTCCTGCCCTCTGCTCATGCTGTAGAGCGAGAGTTCAGGGTGATGAAGGCAGTGGGGCAATGGGGAGTCCCCATACCTAGGATGTATGGATTGTGTGAGGACAGCAGGTAAGATCTACCCCACCCCCCACCCAACTTCACCCACATCTAATTCATCAACACTAATTGTGACAAGTCCCGACATCTAAGATGTATGGATTTTGTAATGACATCAGGTAAGATTTAGCCTTTGCCCCCTCCCCCCCTCTATTCACAATTCACCCCTCATCTAATTCATCAACACCAGGGATAAACTCTAAAAAATTATCCTCTGAAGATTAAACAATTCAAATTTATCTTTTAGTGTCATCGGTACTCCATTTTATGTGATGGAATATTGCAAAGGTCGGATATTTAAAGACCTTGACCTTCCGGGAATGACCAATCAGGAGAGACGAGACATATACATTGCCATGGCAGACACACTGTGTAAGATTCACCGAGTGGATATTTCTAAGGCAGGCCTGGATGATTATGGTAAAAAAGGTAAAGTGTATGATAACTCACCATTAGGAGCATTGATAACAAAGAGGAGAGATTTTATGATAATTCTGTGGAGAATACTAAGGAATATGTTGCCCTTTGATTAAGCTTTATGGATCAATCATGTTCATTATTATTATATTTTTGAGAGACATGTAGAGATTAATAATGACTGTATTCTAAGAATAGATCTATGTAGGGTATAGATATAATAATTATATATATAAAAAAATAGGGGGGGGAATTACTTTGATATCAACTCATGATTTATACTCATTTTTTTGGGATCAAGGTTTTTTATTTAAAAGATAAGTCCATTTAAAAAAAAAAAAAAAAAAAAAGCCTATCTACAGTAAAACACGGTTATAGCAAAGTCCTGGGGACCTGTGAATTTACTTCGCTATATCCGTAATTCGTTATATCCATATAACGAATTCGTATAACCATTATAGCGAATTCGCAATATGCGTGTTTTCCTTCAGGTTTTACGATGAAATATGTTAGGGAAGCAAATATTATAAAACATATCTTCGATAACTAAGGTTTTATTATGAATTGTATTCTATGTACAAATGCTAAAAGTAAATTAAATCAACTCAATTTTTCAAATTTTTTAAAATGTTGGAAAGTTCGTTATAAAAGATGTAAATTTCATTATATTTAATCTCAACGGGACTCAAAATCAGTTCGCTATATCCGTAAATTCGTTATATCAGAGTTCACTATAACCATAAAATTACAAAGATTTGTTAAGAATTTTGCCGGGGACCCTGAATAACTTCGCTATATCCGTGAATTCGCTATATCCGTGTTCGTACTAAACGTGTTTTACTGTATTTTCTATTTGTATATTTTTGTGCAATTAATATTTAAAGATCATTAATTATCAGAAAATTATAAACAAATGCAATTAATTCATAAAAACCCTCCTGTAGAATAATGTTATATCATTATTTAATTATATATACACTGTATTTTTAGGTGGCTATTTAAGGAGGAACCTTAATCGTTGGACAAAGCAGTATGAGGCCAGTAAGACAGAGGAAATTCCAGCCATGAACAAGCTTATAGACTGGCTGTCACAACACCTGCCAGAGAAGGAAGCTGTTACCATAGCTCATGGTGACTTTAGGTGTAGTAAAGTTATCTTTTATAAATTACTTGTTTTTGGTATCTCTTTTAGTTCTTAATATTGATTTTGGAAAACTTTCTAGTTCTAGAATATGACCCCTAAAACAATATATTTGTTTCAAAATTAGTGTTGTTAATATTTTTTGGAAAATAAAATTTACTGTAAAAGTAGTTATATTGACAGGTTCAAAGTTTGACAATTTTGGTACAGTGTATCTTATAATATAGCAGTTGAAATTTTGATGATTATCAGAAATTCGTCAACTTTTCCACATCATCAATTAGTTTCTACTTTACAGTAGACTGAAATACTGCATGTTAAATGTAGGGGCTTCTTATTTTAGTGGCTTTGGCACAAAAAAAACATTTATAAAGACAATATATGGTTTGATAATCTGAAGCCCTAATTCATGAATACAACAACCTAGTGAAAGCACTAAATGTTGAACACACCAATATGTACATGTACATGTGCATTCAATAGATTACTTTTAGTTTGTTAAGTTAAAATACTGCATTACAGACTGGATAATTTAATTTTCCACCCAACAAAACCAGAAGTGATTGGAGTTTTAGACTGGGAGCTCTCCACCATAGGGGATCCAATAACAGACCTGTCAACGTGCCTCCTCAACTACTACCTGCCAGCCAATTTCCCGATGATCAGATGTAAGATTTCTTGTTCATAAATTTAATTTGTATCTCATTAAACAACTGAGTCTTGTTGTGTATACTTTAATTGTTGCAGCCTTAAAGGAAACAGATGTGAAATCTCTGGGAATCCCCACCGTGGAGGAATTTATCGACATTTACTGTCAGAGGATGGGAATTCCCGCCATTTCTAACTTCGATTTCTACGTGGCTTTCGGACTTTTCAGATTTGCAGCAATCATACAAGGTGTCTACAAACGGGCTATTTCAGGTGAAGCTTAATTAATATAGAGTGTACACAATCCTATAGGGTGTCTTCAAATGGGCTTTTCCAGGTAAGACTTAATTAATAAAAAGTGTACACAGTATTACAGGGTGTCTACAAATGGGCTTTTCCAGGTGAGGCTTAATTAATATGCAGTATACACAGTATTACAGGGTGTTTACAACTGAGCTATTTATGCCCCCTCCGAAGAAGGGAGGGCATATTGCTTTGCTGCTGTCTGTCGGTTGGTCTGTCGGTCCACTTAGTTTCCATTCATTTTCTTCACAACCTTTGCACATACTGAAATGAAATTTGGTATACAGATATTTCAGATGAATATCTAGGTCAAGAACTGTTTTGGGTACTCAGGGATCGACACTAACTTTAAAACCATAGTTGTCAGCAGGGCTAGCCATTTGTAAATTCTACTAGCCCTGTTCTTGTATTACTTGTCCAACAGCCGATGGCTGGTGGCCAAGTCGCGAAGCGACGAGAGGGGTAGGTGCGGGACGGGTTTCCCCCTCCTGCTGGTGGGGGTGCGTAAAATTTTGAAAATAGAGATGCAAAATCCTGCATTCTGGCTGTATTTTGGTTAATAATTATGTCACTCTATGACTGTACCTAAGATATTTTTTCTGTTCGAAAAATTCCATATTTATAATCATCTAGGGTATTTTAAATCACCTTTAAAGTTTACATTTTGACTTACAAAAATAATAATTATGATGATAAAACATGTTTGAAAATAAATTTAACAATTATCAAGTATATTGTGTGTAAATTATAATTATTTTCTTGCTCTTAGTGAGTAATTGGTAAAATTTACTGTTGCCCTGCAGGGCAAGTTTAAAGACATGTTTGGTAGCCCGACCTCAGTATTCAGTTGTCCCGGGCCAGCGGGCTAGCGTTAGTGTCGAACCCTGGTACTGTCGCGCCATTTTTGACAGAGTCATGCCCCTTGGACTTAGAAAAAATCCAATTATTTGCTGTTTCCGTTCATTTTCTTTGCAGAGGTTGCACATACTGAAATGAAATTTAGTATACAGATATATCAGATGAATATCTAGGTCAAGAACTGTTTTGGATACTGTCGCGCCATTTTTGACAGAGTCATGCCCCTTGGACTTAGAAAAATTACAATTATTTGCAAGTTTGCGTTCATTTTCTTTGCAGAGGTTGCACTACTGAAATGAAATTTAGTATACAGATTTATCAGATGAATATCTAGGTGAAGTTCTGTTTTGGGTACGATCGCGCAATTTTTTGACAGAGTTATGCCCTTTTGGACTTTAAAAAATTCCAGTTATTTGCAAGTTTGCGTTACATTTCTCTTGTGCAGAGGTAAGCTTACTAATGATAAGTGAAATTTAGTATACAGATTTATCAGATGACTATTTAGGTGAAGTTCTTTTTAATATAGAGTGTACCATTTTTGAAGAGTTATGCCCTTTTGGACTTTAAAAAATTCCAATTGGGGGGAGGGGGGGATAAGTGTTTTACAAACATCTCTTGTTCAGGTAAGGCTTAATTAATATAGAGTGTACACAGTATTAAGGGTGTCTACAAACGAGGTATTTCAGGTAAGGCTTAATTAATATAGAGTGTACACAGTATTAAGGGTGTCTACAAACGAGGTATTTCAGGTAAGGCTTAATTAATATAGAGTGTACACAGTATTAAGGGTGTCTACAAACGAGGTATTTCAGGTAAGGCTTAATTAATATAGAGTGTACACAGTATTAAGGGTGTCTACAAACGAGCTATTTCAGGTAAGGCTTAATTAATATAGAGTGTACACAGTATTAAGGGTGTCTACAAATGAGCTATTTCAGGTAAGGCTTAATTAATATAGAGTGTACACAGTATTAAGGGTGTCTACAAACGAGGTATTTCAGGTAAGGCTTAATTAATATAGAGTGTACACAGTATTACAGGGTGTCTACAAACGAGCTATTTCAGGTAAGGCTTAATTAATATTGAGTATATACAATCTTACAGGTTGTCTGCAAACGGGCTATTTCAGGTAAGGCTTAATCAATATAGAGTGTGCACAATCTTACAATTTCAGAATTATATTGTTTAAAAAATTTCCTTTTTTTTAAATATAAATTTTTTTGATAACGAATAGTTCATAAACAAAGAAATTGATATTAAACCTGATAAATTGTTTATTTTTATTTTATTTTGCTATCCGTTTTCATCCGTCGTCGTATGTCGTTCGTCGTATGCGTTCGTAAACTTTTGAACATTTTTAACTTCTTCTCTGGAACTACTGAACTAATTTTAACCAAATTTGGTACACGGCATCTATGGGTGAAGGGAAACAAAAATTGTAAATTTCATGGTCCCTGTCCCCCTGGAACCTGAGGGGTGGGGCCAAAACCACTAAAATTAATGCAATCTTTAAAAATCTTCTTTACTCCTGGACATCAAGCAGTCAAACTGTTTACATTATTGTAATCAGCATTGAGTCCTCTACCAAAATTTTGAAATTCATGGCCCCTGGGTCAGGGGTTCTGGTGTTAGGGCGGGGCTATATAGATCATATAGTAAAAGTGCATTATTTCTTTGAAAATCTTCTTCTCTGCTCCTGGGTATTAAATAAACTAACTAAGAACATAGTTATGATGACCAAGAGTGCCTCTTCAAAAATGTGTATTTCATGGCCTCTGGGTCAGGGGTTCTGGTGTTAGGGCGGGCCTATATAGATCATAGAGTAAAAGCATTATTTCTTTGAAAATCTTCTTCTCTGCTCCTGGGTATTAAATAAACTAACTAAGAACATAGTTATGATGACCAAGAGTGCCTCTTCAAAAATGTGTATTGTGAATTTCATGGCCCCAGGGTCATTATTTCTTTGAAAATCTTCTTCTCTGCTCCTGGGTATTAAATAAACTAACTAAGAACATAGTTATGATGACCAAGAGTGCCTCTTCAATGATTGTGAATTTCATGGCCCCAGGGTCAGGGGTTCTGGTGTTAGAGCGGGGCTCTATTGATTGTATAGTAAAAAAACCATTAATTCTTCAAAAATCTTCTTCTCTGCTCCTCGGTATTAAACAAGCTAACTAAGTACATAGTTATGATTAACAAGAGTGCATCCTCCAAAATTTTGAAATTTATGGCCCCAGGGTACTGTAAAAGTGGTTATTTACGCGTGGGGGAAATTTACACTACTTACGCGGTAAGCTAAGAACCGCGTAAAATACCCCCGCACGTATGGTCACAAAATTTCAAACTTCTGGAATATTTTTAGATTATTACTTATACAGTAGACCGGTTGAACCAGTCGTATATTAATCGTAGTATTGAACGCACGTGAGTAGATAAATATATCACAAAGAGTGATGAAAATGTAACTGTTCATTTTTTTAAATTGTGCGATGAAAAACGCATCTTTATATTAAATATTTTAGAGCAACATCACGCAATTAAAGCTTCAAAACATCGTTACTCATTTTCATGTCCTTTGTACATTCGTATATGTGTCTCTTAATTTCAAATAATTAGTCGAAAATGTTACATAAACTCACAGTCACTACAAACATACCTATGAAATTGTTAACACTCAACACGCAGATACAGGTAGGTAAATCTCACTTTGAAGTTTAAGCTTGCGTAAATAATTACAATAAAGCGTGAACCAGTTGTTCACACTTCATCGCATTTGACTGTGCAAATCGACATTATATTTACCAATCCAACAGTATAAATTCTAATTTGATTTGTTTAATTTGTTTGTAATTATTTTTCATTTTTTAAAAATCATTTTCAAAGGGGAACAAGTCGATGTTAGTAACGATGGCCACATAATTTTTTCTCGGTTACTTTTGCGACCGCGTATATTACACCCATGTGTAATGTTTGATGGTCACAAACGCGTACTTAACAACCAGTGTGAATAACCACTTTGACAGTATGGGGTTCTGGTGTTAGGGTGGGGCTCTGTTGATTATATAGTGAAAATGCTAATTCTTCAAAAATCCTCCTCTCTGCTCCTGGGCATTAAAACAATAAACTGTTTACATAGTTATGATGAGGAAAGATGCCTCTTCCAAATTTGTGAATGTCATGGCCCCTGGTCAGGGGTTTTGGTCTAAGGAGGGAACTCTTTTGATTATATAGTGAAAATGCATAAATTCTTTAAAAATCTTCTTCTTTCCTTCTGGGTATTAAACAAACTAAGTACGAGGGCTGTTCAAAAATTACGCGGACTGGTTGCACAGACGAAATATTTGACGACATAATCGGGCAAAATTTCACAAATAATATAAAAGAATCTTTAATTATATGGTCTTCAAAATTTCATATCAAAATGTTGTAAATTGGTTTTAATTTTGAGTGATTTTTCAGGACATACCATTAAGTCACGGCGCAGCAAAATCTTCGACGTCACAAGCATTATAAAAATAAGTGATTGAGCTTTCTTTTCTCAACATTTTCCCTTGAGTACCTGTATAGTTTGAGTTACCTTATCTACTCAACATCAAAACACCATTTCTTGTCAAGCTTAAAATCTATTAAACAAGTAAAAAAAATTCTTTTTTTTTTGTTTTAAAACCAAAAACTACCTAAGAGATATAGTGTGATATTGGTGACTCTCAATCACGTTCTTATATAGGAAAAAGTTAACTTTTCGTCTATAATCTTCTTCTCTTCTCCTCCCGAATAGCCTTTTTACAGAGGTCTAATTGTCTAAAATTTCAATTTGCTATTTGTGGGCGAATGTCACGAGTAGCCTAGTTTACTACATGTTTTATAATGCATATTTTGGATCTATGTTGCCAAAATCTCGAGCATTACACATATTTTAACAAAAGTGTGGTGCGCCGTCAATTCAGGAAACGTCATTTTCACAGTCGTTTTCACGAGAATCGCATCAGAGAAAAATCACTATATTTCTGTTAGTACTTCAAATATTACGTCCGAAATCTAAATACATAATAATAGAACAATTTAAAGGTACATTTGAGAAAATGGTTGAAAAATATCGCGAATTTTAGAAAATCAATGAGTTAAATTTTTGAATCCGCGTGCTTTTGCTTCACTTTTTTTGTCGTGGGCCGTACCTCTCTATCAACGATATCAACATACCGATAATTTTAGTAGAATTTTTTTAAAATACAGAAATTTTGCCCAAAATTTATTGGAATCTTTAAGATACATATTTCTGTGAAATTTTATAACTATATGACGTCTGTAAGAGTAAATAATAGCACAGTCCGCGTAATTTTTGAACGGCCCTCGTAAGTACATAGTTATGATGAGCAAGAGTGTTTCTTCCAAAATTGTGAACTTTTTGGCCCCTGGGTTAGGGGTTGTGATGTTAGGGCGAGGCTTTATTGATTATATAGTGAAAATACATTGTTTCTTCAAAATCTTCTTCTCTGCTCCTGGGTATTAAACCAATGAACTATGTACATGTACATAGTTATGATGAGGAAGGATGCCTCTTCCAAAACTGTGAATTTCATGGCCCCTGGGTCAGGGTTTCTGGTGTTAGGGTGGGGATCTAATGATTATATATACATGTAGTGAAAATACATGAATTCTTTGAAAATCTTTTCTATTGCTCCTAGGTATTATGCGAATGATCTTAGTACACATATTTATGATGAAGAAAGGTGCATCTAGCAAAATGATTAATTTCATGTTCTCTGCGTCAGGGGTATCGGGAGGGGGGGGGGTAACAGTACATAGTCTGAAGATAAATAAATGCTTTGAAATCTGCTCTTTGGTATTAATCAACCATTTATGATGAAGTAAAAAATTTATGATAAAATCTCCAAAATTTTGAAATATGTGGCCCCAGGGTCAGTGGTTCCTGTGGGGTGGGGTGCACCACTGGTTATAAAGTGAAAATGCATTTTCTCTTTCTTACTCTGATCTGACTCTGGGTATTAAGTAACTAGAGTAAGCATTCTAAGTGTATAATAATGATAAGCAATGGTGCTTCTTTCAAAATTGTGAATTTCATGGCATCTGGTTTAAAACACGAACCAAATTCAATATTTCTAAAGTTGTTTCATGATACTCAGGTGACCTATAAGGCCCGTGGGCCTCTTATTATCCTTTTTGCATCAATGCTATGCAGCTTTGTATGCAAACATCCGTAACATATGGAAAATCAGATGTAGTTGCAGATACAAATGTTAGGAATATGCATACTGCAGTACATAAAAAAAATTGATGCATGTACCTGTGAATCCACTGATATAAATGCTATTTAAATCTGATAATAGGTTATCTACCTGTATTTTCACTTTAGTTCAAAATCTAGGTCATGTCAGTATTGGGGTTGTTTTTAGTCAGGTAAGACAGGATTTTTAGTTGTCTCTTATATGTTTAAATGGCATATAAAACTGTGAACAGTTTTCTTACAATAGTGGATGAAAATTTAAAAACATATTGAATAGTGACATATTCTATCTGACTTGAATGCATGTGCACTCGGGCATTTTTAGCCCGTTTCATTCCTTTATATTGTGATGTTTTGTATTAAGTTTCAGATAAACTTGTGTGTCAGGTTGCAAAAAATTTTAGTTTTAGATGAATAGGGAGTACCATTTTTGGTTGCTACATTTAATATGGTTATATGTTAATTCAGTAGTAAAATCTTCATTGTGTGTATTAATAGTGAGTAATAACCACAGGTGGGGGGAGGGGGGTATAGCTTAGTTGTACCAAGGTCATGGTCACTGGTCAAAATGTTTGCATTGGCCTACTGTCAGTTTTCTAGAACTTTAAATGATACATGTACTCAGCATGACTGATGTGTTAGCACATGTATACTTTTACTGGTACATGTACTGTATACCAACTTTTATTTACGTCATATTTATTTGCTATTTGTCAATTGAAATCAGTCTGTGATGATTAATTTTCATGGCTAAGGCAACATTTCTCTACAAATACTACATGTGATCAAAATGATTGGTTTGTGGCGATTAATATTTGCAAGTTAAAGTAGGTCACGGAACCAGGGGATATTTCTCACACGCATATAATAGTTGGTTTACAGTATATATGTATACATGTTTTTTAGGACAAGGCAGCGCCCCTAATTCGGTGCTTGTTGGAGAATTTGCTAAGCTGATAGCAGAGCTAGGGTGTGAGATTGCATCCAGCAGTAACCTCCAACCTACAGTGTCCCCCATTGGTGGGGGCATTCAGACAGAGAACATGTCAGGGAAGAGGAACTACAGCATAGGGACCGCGGGGACAGCCAGTAAGGAGACAGCCTTGTCTTAAGTGTGATACAGATGTATTTAGTTAAAAAATTATATGTCTTTAAAAAGGCTAAACTGTATAAAAGGTTTTTTATGAAGCTTCTATTTTTTTAATTATATTTCAACAATCTTCTTTTAAATTCATGTCTGCTCAGTGATTTGTTCACATTTTTGCATTATGTTTGTCTTATACTATGTTTTAAGGTTACCAGCTTACATGGGCTTAGTCAAAGTTACATATTCTTCACATTTTAATTTTTTATGTTTATTCATTCAGTTTGTTATCTGATCAAAGTTATCTTTCTTGCCTTTAGCACTTAAATCTAAGTGTGCAATTAAAAAATTTTGACAGGCTACTAAAAAAGTCAGCACCTTGCTAAAAAAATCCCACGTTTCTCAAAATTATTGGTACATTTCATCACTTTTATTTTGTGCTATATCTATACGTATAATTTAATGATATATAAAACAGAAATTATTTTTTTTTCACAAATGAGAATACAGTAAAAATCGGTTATAACGAAGTCACTGGGACCTATGAAATTACTTCGCTATATCCGTAATTCGTTAGATCCGAATAGGGAATTTGTTAAAATTGTATATCTGGGGATCCAAGATAACTTCGCTATATCCATGAATTCGCAATATCCTTGTTTGTACTAAACAAGTTTTACTGTAATATGTTGTAGCTATCTTTTAACCTAACTGTCCTGAAATGAAATGAGTCTTACCAGTACTTAACAAGTTTGTATGGAAAATGGACACTGACCAGCACATCTTGTTTTTCAGATCAGATGGTAGTATCCCCAGAAGGACTTTCCCCCAGGGCCAAGGACCTTTATGACCGTGTCAAGGACTTCATAGAGAAGGAGGTCAAACCGGCAGAGAAAGAGATCCTGGAGTTTTATAAACCAGAGCAGAACCACTGGAGGGTGTGTCCTGTGATCCCACGACTGAAGGTAAGATAAACCCTGGCAAGCAGAACCACTAGAAGGTGTGTCTGGTGATCCCACAACTGAAGGTAAGTTAAAACCGGAGCAGAACCACCAGAAGGTGTGTCCGGTGACCCCACAACTAAAGGTAAGATAAACCGCAGCAGAACCACTGGAAGGTGTGTCTGGTGATCCTTAGACTGAAGGTAAGATAAACCGGAGCAGAACCACTGGAAGGTGTGTCCGGTGATCCCACGACTGAAGGTAAGATAAACCCAAGCAGAACCACTAGAAGGTGTTTCTAGTGATCCCACAACTGAAGGTAAGATAAACCGGAGCAGAACCACTGGAAGGTGTGTCTGGAGATCCTTAGACTGAAGGTAAGGTAAACCGGAGCAGAACCACCGGAAGGTGTATCTGGTGATCCCACGACTGAAGGTAAGGTAAACCGGAGCAGAACCACCGGAAGGTGTATCTGGTGATCCCACCACTGAAGGTAAGCAAGACACGGAGAAGTGGGGGTTATTTACAGAATAAATAATCACAAAATAACAATACTGTATGATTCAATATTTTGGTTACCAGTTAATACATGTATCTGTGAAAGTCAATAAATTCAATGATTTTTTTTTTGATTTTAAACAAGATTGTCTCCTTCAGGAAAACCACCGGAAGGTGTGTCCGGTGATATGACTGAAGGTAAGATAAACTCCAGAACCACTGGAAGGTGTGTCCGGTGATCCCACGACTGGGTAAGATAAAGCGGAGCAGAACTCACCGGAAGATGTGTCCGTTGATCCCACGACTGAAGGTAAGATAAAGCGGAGCAGAACCACCGGAAGGTGTGTCTTGTGATCCCAGCACTGAAGGTAAGATAAACCAGAGCAGAACCACCGGAAGGTGTGTCCGGTGATTTCACGATTGAAGGTAAGATAAACCGGAGCAGAACCACCGGAAGGTGTGTCCGGTGACCCCACGACTAAAGGGATAAACCAGAGCAGAACCACTGGAAGGTGTGTCCGGTGATCCCACGACTGAAGGTAAGATAAAGCGGAGCAGAACCACCGGAAGATGTGTCCGTTGATCCCACGACTGAAGGTAAGATAAAGCGGAGCAGAACCACCGGAAGGTGTGTCTTGTGATCCCAGCACTGAAGGTAAGATAAACCAGAGCAGAACCACCGGAAGGTGTGTAGGTGATTTACGATTGAAGGTACATAAACAAATTTAACCAAAGGTGTGTCCGGTGACCCCACGACTAAAGGGATAAACCAGAGCAGAACCACTGGAAGGTGTGTCTGGTGATCCCACGACTGAAGGTAAGATAAAGCGGAGCAGAACCACCGGAAGATGTGTCCGTTGATCCCACGACTGAAGGTAAGATAAACCCGAGCAGAACCACCGGAAGGTGTGTCCGGTGATCCCATGACTGAAGGTAAGATAAAGCGGAGCAGAACCACCGGAAGATGTGTCCGTTGATCCCACGACTGAAGGTAAGATAAACCCGAGCAGAACCACCGGAAGGTGTGTCCGGTGATCCCAGCACTGAAGGTAAGATAAACCAGAGCAGAACCACCGGAAGGTGTGTCCGGTGATTTCACGACTGAAGGTAAGATAAACCGGAGCAAAGCAGAACCACCGGAAGGTGTGTCCGGTGACCCCACGACTATAGGTAAGGTAAACCAAAGCAGAACCACCGGAAGGTGTGTCCAGTGATCCCACGACTGAAGGTAAGATAAACCAAAGCGGAAGGTGTGTCTGGTGATCCCAGCACTGAAGGTAAGATAAACCAGAGCAGAACCACTTGAAGGTGTGTCCGGTGATCCTACGACTGAAGGTAAGATAAACCAGAGCAGAACCACTGGAAGGTGTGTCCGGTGATCCCACAACTTTTGTAAGAATAGGGAGCAGAACCACCGGAAGATGTGTCCGTTGATCCCACGACTGAAGGTAAGATAAACCATTTTTACGAAAATAACCACCGGAAGGTGTGTCCGGTGATCCCAGCACTGAAGGTAAGATAAACCAGAGCAGAACCACCGGAAGGTGTGTCCGGTGATTTCACGACTGAAGGTAAGATAAACCGGAGCAGAACCACCGGAAGGTGTGTCCGGTGACCCCACGACTAAAGGTAAGATAAACCAAAGCAGAACCACCGGAAGGTGTGTCCAATGATCCCACGACTGAAGGTAAGATAAACCAAAGCAGAACCACTAGAAGGTGTGTCTGGTGATCCCAGCACTGAAGGTAAGATAAACCCGAGCAGAACCACTGGAAGGTGTGTCCGGTGATCCCACGACTGAAGGTAAGATAAACCTGAGCAGAACCACCGGAAGGCGTGTCCGGTGATCCCACGACTGAAGGTAAGATAAACCGGAGCAGAACCACTGGAAGGTGTGTCTGGTGATCCCACGACTGAAGGTAAGATAAACCCAAGCAGAACCACTGGAAGGTGTGTCCGGTGATCCCACGACTGAAGATAAGCAAGACATGGAGAAGTGGGGGTTATTTACAGAATAAATAATCACAAAATAACAATACTGTATGATTCAATATTTTGGTTACCAGTTAATACATGTATCTGTGAAAGTCAATAAATTCAATGATTTTTTTATTTTAAACAAGATTTCTCCTTCAGGAAAAAGCTAAAGCTGCAGGGTTATGGAACTTGTATCTCCCGAAGGAATCTGACCCTGGGATGAAGTACGGGGCAGGTCTCTCCAATCTGGAGTATGCATTCATGTGTGAAGAGATGGGAAAATATCCACTATCATCAGAGGTACGATTTATGTAAATGTACATGTATATCTATAACTTGAATCATGCTTGTATCTTATATACTGTATAGAGTGAAATTTTCACCCCCGTTTTATTTTCGCCCCCTTTGCTCTACCCTCAACTGGGTGAATTTAAAATGGTGTGAATTCAAAGAATACGGAATAATTTCTTAAACAAAATCAAGACTGGGCGAATTTAAAACAGGACAAAATTTTTGCCCAGTGTGAATGGGCGAAAATAACATGGGGCGAAAATAACCCTGTATACAGTAAATTGTAGGATTTATTTACATGTAGTTTTTTATCAAATTTAGCAAGATATGCAAATTACAAGGAAAACTTGTTCATTTTGATTCAGTAGAAGTATGTTTTAAGTTAGTAAGTAAAATCTGTGGACGAATTAAATTCTCGTTACAAAAGCTAACAGAATATTGGCAGGAATTTGAAACTGAGTAGGACAGATGATAATATACATTTATTGACTGAGTTCGAGGGCAACATGCGTTTTGTCAGACCCAAGAACCAAACTGTCTGCCTGAGGCCGTTAGGCCAAAAGCAGTCAGTTTGGTTCAAGGGTCGACAAAACGCATTTCCCTAGAACTCAGTCAATAAATGTAACATCAGGTCTATCACTGTTGAACACCAATGATTGAAAATGAGATTAAGCTCCGCCCATTCTGTGACGTAAGCAGTCCAACATCTCATTGACCGGTCCAACATGTCACTCAATGGTCCAACATCAATTTTTTATGCCCGCTCAGCAAAACATAAGAAATGTTAGACTTTTTTTCATATAGATTTATATAGAAATTTTTTTTAAAGGTATAACAAATATTTGTGTTGTAGGTGTTTAACTGCCAGGCCCCTGACACAGGAAACATGGAGGTCTTAGTCAGGTACGGGACGGAGGAACAGAAACGACAGTGGTTAACTCCCCTGCTTAACGGAGAAATCAAGTCCTGCTTTGGCATGACTGAACCTCAGGTATAGACAAAAATAAAGCTTTAATTTCTGAAATGGACTTTTTTTATAGCTTTGATTTTTTTTAAAATTTAAAATATATTTATTCAAATTATTGAAATGGATTGAACAGCAGGCATAAATGACTATAATAGTTCTCTCTATAATATACATGTAAAGCTTTTATAGCTTTAACTACTTATGATTAAAAAAAACTTCATAACAATTTACTGGTAGTAGTTGGTAACATGTATTATATATGATAATTTCCTTTTTCCTGGAATACAGTGGATTCATCATTGTTTGTGATGGGACCATTGTTTGTGTATTTCATGGGTCACCCTTACCCAAGAATTTACACCCCTCACAAACATCTCTTTTGTAAACATATTCTTTGAATCACTTGTGTAAATGAGTAACATGAAATTGTATGAAAAATATCATTCTCACAAGCACACTGTCTCATCCACAAAAAAGTGATTTACAGTTACATCCCCAGGAATGAGTAAAATTTTGCTTGCCCATGAACATTGACCCCACCAAATGAAAATGATTCCACAATATTTTGCTAGAAAAAAAAGCTGCAATTGAAAAAAAGTTTTAATATTTCTACTCTGTACATTTCATTATTTACTTACCGGGTATTTTAGGTAGCTTCTTCAGATGCCACCAATATTGAATCCTCCATCACGAGAGAGGGGGATCACTACGTCATTAATGGACACAAATGGTGGACCTCAGGTATTATATCATATCAGAGTAGAAAACTTCACAGTAATTTACAGAGGGTGTTTATATTTACATCTGCATTAAACGACATAGAATTCTGCATTAATTGTTAATTTGATAATAATTGATACTGAACAATAGACACCTCCCTCCTAAAAAAGAGACAGAACCAGAATAAAATATTAAGTATCAATGTTTTCCCCAATATCTTATCTTTGTTTCATATCATTACTTAGCATATAATGTTACTAGAATGTTCACATTACATTTGTCCTATTATGCAGATACATGTATCAGCCTCAAAATAACTTAATTTCAAGACTTTAAAGAAACTTAGAATTTTAAAAAAGTTAAACTGTATTTGATGTAAATATATCAATTGACAGGTGCTTTACATCCAGACTGTAAGGTGTGTGTATTTATGGGGAAAACAGACAAGTCTGCTGCCACACACAGACAACAGAGTATGATCCTGGTACCGATGGACGCCCCCGGGGTCAAAATTGTCAGACCCCTCACCGTGTTTGGCTATCTAGACTACCCAGGTGAGAAGGAAACAAGTTTATTTTCTTTATGACATCTCAATGTTTGATCTTTTTAGTTGTCTGAATTAGTATAAAAATTTTACCAAATAAATGTGGTGAAATTTTCCTCTCTTTATATTTTTTAACAGCTGGGCATGCAGAGGTGATATTTGAGAACGTGAAAGTTCCCCTCGGCAACATGTTGCTAGGTGAGGGGCGTGGCTTTGAGATTGCTCAAGGTCGCCTGGGTCCCGGCAGGATACATCATTGTATGAGACTTATCGGCAATGCTGAACGAGCCCTCCAACTCATGCTGGAAAGAGTAGGTCTATACTGTACTATCTCCAAATGTCTTGAAACATACCAGAGGCACCTGTTTTGTATTCAGGGCACCCCCTAATAGGGGGTGCTCTGTTTATGAAACAAAGGCATGTGAAACATACATATTTCGTATTCAGTATATACAGTAAATGAACTGATAATCTATAAGTTAAACTTTTTACTTAAGCACATATAAGGTATAAAACTGAAGATAGCTTTAGAAAATCTTGCTACAATTTTTAGACACAGAACAGGGTGGCCTTTGGAAAGCCTCTGGCAGCACAGGGAACAATACAGCAAGACGTGGCTAAGTCTAGGATTGAGATTGAGCAGACTCGGCTACTGGTGCTCAAGGCAGCTCACATGATGGACAACTATGGCAATAAGGTAAGAGGGAAGCATAAACATTACATCTCCAATGACTGAAGGAGCTAAATTGTAAATGATATAAATTATAAGGTCATTCTATGTATACCCAAGTCTTAGCTCACCTGAGCCAAAGCTTCTCTGGTCAAAAGGTCTGTAGTCCATTATCTGTAAACTTTTCACATTTTCAAGTTTTGCCCAAGAACTACATGACAAACTTGAAATTATGCCAGGGTGAAGGGAATATGATTGGGCCACAAAAGTTAATGAATAGCTTTGTTGTCTTAGTGAAAATTAAATGGCATCTTCTTTTTAAGGTCCAATGGCCAGAAAAGGTGAAATTTAGAAGAAAGCTTTATATTATAGTGTAGATTCAAATTTGTTTGAATTGTGAACACCCTTCCCCCTTTTACACAGAAATGTGCAGGAAAAGTGTTTAAAAATCTTCCTCTCAATAACTACTTGTCCAGAAAAAGTTTACACTTTGCAGTACTGTTAAGGCTTCCCAGAGCTTTAAATGCATTTAAAACGTAACACTGCATTGCAAAGTTGATTTTGAGTTTTATTTTTAAGTTATGTACTTAAGTACACCCAATTCATATGGAGAGTTCTCTAGGCTATATATAAACATATTTGTTATGATATCACATGACCTTGTTGATCATGTGACGGTCATTTCTTCTTTTTTGAAGTTTTTCACATAAATTGCTTTGGCGCAGGTCATTAACACAATTATTATCAACTTTTTGTCACGTAAATAAACTCGTTGCATCCTTGTGAACTCGAAATGTGCTAGGGAAAAGTTACACTATTACTCTGGTACAAAATATTTCACATTAACCTCATTTTACCGACAAATCTGAGAGTATTTTCTGCTCAATATCGTTATCTGTTTTAACACAAAGCCATCTTACATTTTTCCCAAGCAAGATTCAGTTAGAGGGGAAACTCCTCTTGCAGATTTCCACAAAAGATATTAAATAAATCCTCATTAATCACCTGCGCCAGGCTCTTTCATACAAATATTATGAATTCTGCCTCTATCCACTGGTATAAAAAAGGGTAAATGTCAAGCGTATATTTTCGTACATAATTTGAACATGCTGACTTTTAAACAAAAGTAATAAAGCACAGTTACAGGAATTATTCGGATATATTAGATTTTTTTCAAAAAATGATTAAAACATATTATTTTAAACTAGTTTTCTGAATCTTTATATGCAGATTGAAATTAGATGTAAGTTTATGACACTCTCCGCATCATTACAGTTCAAGTTTGCAGTGACTTGATGTCATTCTCAATTATGATGTTCAGAGAAGTGCATGCACAGAGTACACTGCAACATTCTCTGGGAAGCCTTATCGTACCTGTGTTTTACACAATAATACATAAGAACTAGAAACTCTTGTTGCTACAGCAACAAAGAAGGTCTTCCGTTCTCCTCTATTTATCTACATGAATGAGCTTTTATCTATGTTAAAAAGGCATATAATATTTTTAATGATTTCAGGAAAACGAACAGCCGGAGGTGTAACTCACCAAGATTCTTTACTTTACTTTAGACAATTATAGTCTTAATAACATGTACAAAAATCATTTTCAATTTTTTATCACTTCCTGTGACGACCGGAAGTGACGGCGTACGCATTTAACCCTATATTTTTTGCCCAATCTTCGTCTTCTCATTTTGAGGACAACAATCACGTGACCGGAAGTATATTTTTGAAGAGATATTTGAGCTTACTCTAGATATATCAGTCTAAATAACATGTCCTAAAATCATTCCTAATGCTCTTCTTATCAAAAATATTAATGGGATAGTATAATACTAAATTTATGCAGTTTTTCTTTCAAGAGCGGAAGTTGTCCATTTTGTTTCCAGTGGGACTGACATATTTCAAAACTACAAAAAAAGATGCTATAATGTATTACTGAGAAAGATTCCATAAGAAAAGTTTTTATTCATTTGTTCACTTCCTGTGACAACCGGAAGTGACGGTGGACAATCTTTTCCTGACTAGTTTTGCCTACACATCAAGATCTACCACTTGTAAAAGTTTGGTGTCTTAATCTCTTACCCTTTACGAGATCTAGTTATGATAACTTCTCATTTTGAGGACAGGAAATCACGCAACCGGAAGTGAATTTTATAAAGATATTTGGCGTTACTGAAGACAGTTACAGTCTTAATAACATATCCAAAAATCATTACAAATACTTTATCTATAAAAAATGTTTACGGGAAAGAAAAATACTCAAATTATAAAGCTTTTCTCTTATAACCGGAAGTTGTCTTCTTTGTTTCCGGTGTTACTGACTCATTTCAAAACTACAAATAAGATGCTATTATGTGATAAAAAAAGTTTTCATAAGGGAAAGTTGAATTTTTGGACTTCTTTGATCACTTCTTGTGACGACCGGAAGTGACGACAGACGATTTTATCCCCCATGGAATTGCTTACTCGTCAGGATATAGCACTTGTAAAAGTTTGGTGTCTTAATCTCTAACTGTTTAAGAGATCTAGCTATAATAACTTCTCATTTTGAGGACAGGAAATTACACGTAACCGGAAGTGAATTTTTAAAAAAATGGTTGATGTTACTGTAGACATTTGCAGTCTGAATAACATATCCAAAAACAGTTGCAAACACTTTATCTATAAAAAATACATATCGGAAAGAAAATATTCAAATTATTTAGTTTTTCTCTTATAACCGGAAGTTGTTGTTTTTGTTTCCGGTGGAGCTGATATATTTTGAAACTACAAATAAAGCGCTTTAATGTGATGCAATAAACGTTCCATAAAAGAAAAGTTGAAATTTCCAATTTTTTGACCTCTTCCTGTGACGACCGGAAGTGACGGAGGACAATCTTTATCTATATGTTTTTGCCTTTTCGTCAAGATATACCACTCCTATAAGTTTGGTGTCTACATCTCTTACCGTTTCCGAGATATAGCTGTAAGAACTATTCATTTTGAGGACAGGAAATCACACGACCGGAAGTGAATTTTCCAAAGATATTTGACGTTACTGTAGTCATTTGCAGTCTGAATAACATATCTAAAAATCGTTTCAAAAACTTTATCTATAAAAAATATTTATGGGAAAGAAAAATACTGAAAATATGCAGTTTTTCTCTTATAACCGGAAGTTGTCGTTTTTGTTTCCGGTGGGACTGACATATTTCGAAACTACGAGTAAGATGCTATAATCTGATGCAAAAAAACTTTCAAAAAAGAAAAGTTGAAATTTTCGATATTTAGGAACACTTCCTGTGACGACCGGAAGTGACGGCGGACGATCTTAACCCAAATGGATTTGCCTACTTATCAAGATCTATCATCCCTGTAAGTTTGGTGCCTTAATCTCTTACCGTTTCTGAGATCTCACTCGGATTAAATATTTTTTAAAAAAGCGGAAATCGGACATATCTGACGACCGGAAGTGATTTTTGAAAAAATGAAAAAAACGTCTCGGGGTATTTTCATTTTCTATCATCCCTGAAAATTTCAGGAAAATCCGTCCAGCCATCTCTGAGAAATCCTGTCGACAAGATTTGGGGAAAAAAATAATAATAAGAATAATAATAAGAAAAAACAGTAGAATCACTATAAGGTCTTCCGTCTGAAACGGAAGACCTTAATAATTTAATAAAACTTCTAAATATCTTTTCAAGAACAACAAAGGCACGTTTGGTCATATTGACATAAAAGCCTTCTAAGGAATAGTAGTGCAGATTCAAGTTTGTTCAAATCAGGACCCCAGGGGGTAGGGTGGGCCAAAATAGTTAAAGTTTTACAAAGGAATATTGAGGAAATAGATCTGCAGATGATGAACAGCGTGGTCATCTTAACCCAGGTGATCATTGTGTTGTTTGGGCCTATCATTTTGTTTTCTTATGTTTATACAGGTGGCAGCTCCAGAAATAGCCATGATTAAGGTGGCAGCTCCCAACATGGCCCTGAATGTAATTGATCGTGCCATACAGGTAATACAGAAGTGTAGCCACCAGACATCTACTCATAAGCAGATCTGTATAAACATCTTATACCTCATACCCAGTGCACTTACTATAGCATTGTACCAGGTTTCCTTTAGTGCAACCAGATGAACCTGCAATTTCATTTTCCTTTTAGATATTTTTTTCCTTGCTTTTCAGAAAAAAATCAAATCAATTTATCTAATATATATGAAGGATGAACTTACAGTCTCAATTAATTATCTGTTTTTAAATTCATTTTCATTGTTTCTCCATTTCTTAGTGTATTGAATTTAACATTGCATTCAACTACATACATGTACATGTATGTATGAAAGTCCAAAGAAAAAAAAATTGAAAATTTTTCAATGCAAAATATTTGAAGATTGAGTTAAAAGTGGTTTGAGCAAAGAAGCTTATCCCCAGTTTTGTAACAGCCTTACTCAAAGAGCAGCAAAAACTATTTGTAAACATTTTCCTTTTTACCTAATATTCATATGCTGTGTTTGATTACAACACAAAAATCTGAGTTTTTTACAATTTTCAACAATCTTTGGATTCTTAAATCCACCAGTTCACCAGCAAAGATAATTTCTCCAGCATGAAAATAATCTATTCTTTAGCAAGTCTCAAGAAGACACTGAGTATGATTTTGTTGTAATCAACCATGGCATACATATATCTGATGAGGACTGATTAAACTGGTTCCCTTTTAGGCCCACGGTGGAGCTGGTCTGAGTGATGATTTTATTCTTGCCGGACTCTTTTCCTGGGCCCGAGTTCTGCGACTCGCAGACGGCCCTGACGAGGTTCATCTCCGGAGTGTGTCACGACAGGAATACCGAAAATATAATTTATCTAAACTTTGACAGGTGCGAGGCATTTCTGAACACCGAAAACATATTTATCTAAACTTGGACAGGTGCGAGGCATTTTTGAATACCAAAAACATATTTATCTAAACTTTGACAGGTGCGAGGCATTTCTGAATACAGAAAATATACAGTAATTTATATAAACTCTGACAGGTGCGAGGCATTTCTGAATACAGAAAATATACAATAATTTACATAAACTCTGACAGGTGCGAGGCATTTCTGAATACAGAAAATATAAAGTAATTTATATAAACTCTGACAGGTGCGAGGCATTTCTGAATACAGAAAATATACAGTAATTTATATAAACTCTGACAGGTGCGAGGCATTTCTGAATACAGAAAATATACAATAATTCACATAAACTCTGACAGGTGCGAGGCATTTCTGAATACAGAAAATATACAATAATTCACATAAACTCTGACAGGTGCGAGGCATTTCTGAATACAGAAAATATACAGTAATTGAGATAAACTCTGACAGGTGCGAGGCATTTCTGAATACAGAAAATATACAGTAATTTACATAAACTCTGACAGGTGCGAGGCATTTCTGAATACAGAAAATATACAATAATTTACATAAACTCTGACAGGTGCGAGGCATTTCTGAATACAGAAAATATACAGTAATTTACATAAACTCTGACAGGTGCGAGGCATTTCTGAATACAGAAAATATACAGTAATTTATATAAACTCTGACAGGTGCGAGGCATTTCTGAATACAGAAAATATACAGTAATTTACATAAACTCTGACAGGTGCGAGGCATTTATGAATACAGAAAATATACAATAATTTATATAAACTCTGACAGGTGCGAGGCATTTCTGAATACAGAAAATATACAATAATTTATATAAACTCTGACAGGTGCAAGGCATTTCTGAATACAGAAAATATAATTTATCTAAACTTTGACAGGGTTCATTCTACCTATTCCCACTTTTTGAAAATCAGGTAGAAAAAGGTAAGATTTCATGTGGGAATAGGTGGAATTTTTGTGTAAAAAAAGTAATTAACTATGAAAACATATAAATACTAAGTAAACAATGATCAACAATTATTAATGAATACCTGTTGGAATTAAGGACTGGTATAGTTACTTTTTAGAATTATAAATCAGACTTTTTATACCCCCCACAAACGAAGTTTGGGGGGTATATAGGAATCACCTTGTCCGTCTGTCCGTCTGTCTAGCTGTCTGTGCAATCGTGTCCGGTCCATATCTTTCTTACAGAGGGACATTAGAATCTACTACTCCACATAAAGATTGCCCATGACCCAAGGGTGTGTCATGACCTTGATCCAAGGTCATTTGGGGAACTTGAAGGTCACTGGAAGAAAAATTTCAGAATTCGTGTCCGGACCATATCTTTCTTATGAATAAACTTGGTAGGTTCTCATTTCACACAAAGATTGCCCATGACCCAAGGGTGTGTTATGCCCTTGACCCAAGGTCATTTGGGGAACTTCAAGGTCACTGGAAGAAAAATTTCATAATTTGTGTTCCGGTCCATATCTTTCTTATGAATAAACTTGGTAGGTTCTCATTTCACACAAAGATTGCCCATGACCCAAGGGTGTGTCATGACCTTGACCCAAGGTCATTTGGGAAACTTGAAGGTCACTGGAAGAAAAATTTCAGAATTCATGTCTGGTCCATATCTTTCTTATGAATAAACTTGGTAGGGTCTCATTTCACACAAAGATTGCCCATGACCCAAGGGTGTGTCATGACCTTGACCCAAGGTCATTTGGGGAACTTCAAGGTCACTGGAAGAAAAATTTCAGAATTCGTGTCCGGTCCATATCTTTCTTATGGATAAACTTGGTAGGTTGTCATTTCACACAAAGATTGCCCATGACCCAAGGGTGTGTCATGACCTTGACTTAAGGTCATTTGGGGAACTTCAAGGTCACTGGAAGAAAAATTTCAGAATTCGTGTCCGGTCCATATCTTTCTTATGAATAAACTTGGTAGGTTCTCATTTCACACAAAGATTGCCCATGACCCAAGGGTGTATCATGACCTTGACCCAAGGTCATTTGGGGAACTTCAAGGTCACTGGAAGAAAAATTTCATAATTCATGTTTGATACATATCTTTATTTTGGAAAAACTTACTTCTGAAATAACCCAGCGGGAGGTATTTTGTCCCGTTTGACCTACTTTTACAAAAAAATACCACACTTTAACCTTGGCCATAACTTTTGAACAGTTGGAGTTAGGGCTTTCATACTTCACATGTGTATTTATTGTGACAAGACCTTTCAGCAGGTATTAATATTTTTAACCTTTTGACCTATGAGTTTGACCCACTTTTAAAAACTTTAACCTTGGTCATAATTTTTGAACAGTTAGAATTAGGGCTTTCATATTTCACAGGTGTATTCCTTGTAACAAGACCTTCCTTTGGGTACACTTATGACCTTGACCTCTGGAGTTTGAAATGCATTTGAGAGAATTCTACCCTTGTCATAAGCTGCCATACGTGGGCATCAGTGTTTCACAAACACATCTTGTTTAACATTAAAATATAATTGTATTATGTATGGAAAATCTACAAGCTCTAGTTCATGATTATGCTGAATAATGAACTACATTTGTTCTGAACTTGCTTGCTAAATGAAAATGTGTGCAACATAATCAGTAGAGATTTCATCCCAAAGTAATAACCTTAAATATTATTATAAAACATTTATAGTCACTTGTTATATTATTTTGCACATCACGTAAAGCAAAGTACATAAGCATATTGATAGCTTTAATACACTGACTGTTTGTCTCTAAGGATTTTATGAAACATCTTGAGATTTGCTTGCTTTGACCTATTACATGGCAATATGAAATATTGCAGTAGCACAGATTTCCAAGTACACAGATACCTTTGAGTTTTTATGAACTTATATAAACAAGGACTATTGTCTATTTTATTGAATGTGTTCTAATAGAATGACAATTGTTTTTTTTACTAACTGCATACATGGGTGCTAAAATTCCTATTTCATTAAGAGGGTAGGGTACAGTGTAAGCAATTTCATATGTACGTCACCAAGTTTTAGACTTGTCAATATCTTCAATCTTTGTTTGTTGCCTTACAGCAGTAAACAGTATTCAATAGTCAGGTTTGAATTTTCAGGTGCATGGTGGGGCTGGCGTATCCTCAGATTTCTGTTTGGCTAGACTGTTCGCAAAAGCTCGTGTGTTACGCTTGGCTGACGGACCAGATGAAGTCCATTTGAGGCAGGTCGCCAAGTTTGAGTACAGAAAGGCTAGATTATAACTATACCGCTTCAGATGACTCTATAATATGTCTGTGATGATTTTTTCTGTGATTTCATTGAATCGACATTACACACAGTTGTAATACTGCATGAACAACATAATAATCATGTATCTATATAGCATGATCAATAAAATGTCATGTCCACAGTCCTTTTGATGAAATGGTGTTATATGTTTATTGTTATATTATATTTTTAAATACAATAAAACAAATTATATCATATCCTGTCATCTGCATTAGTTTTGCTTGGTAGGTTGTTTAATGTCCCTCTGATAATTTTCACTAAACCCGAGATGCAACCACTTGCTGGTGAAGGGCTACAAAGAAATAAGGCGTGGACAATCCCCCGTTCTGAGACAATATGTTTCTCAATTTTCAAAATTAACGGAAAAGTTATATTTTTTTTAAAATTATGTTCTCAGTAATGTCTTCTTTAAAACATTTTATTATTTTATTTTACTGAACGACTTATCATTTGACAATCTTTTTTCAAAGTTGACAGTTAAGCATATTTAGTGGAAAATGGGTTTACTAGAGCCATAAAAAATGAATTTTGAACATGAATGGGTCAAGTCTCCATTTTTTGTTAACGTGAATGTGAAATCTATTTCCTTTGTCCAAAAAATGAAGTCTGAACCCATTCTATATGAAAATCGAACTTTTCTGAAAAAAATGTACGCTTCAACAAACCCGTTCATTTAAATCAAACTGACAGACTTCGACAACGCATATACTTCGTAGCGTAGTGGTTAACGCAGTCGGTCTTGTGACAAACCCTGCGCTATGGAGAGAGTTTGAATCACACATGAAGCTTTTTCTTTTCACATATATCTTAAAACATGAGTGAAAAAATAAAATTATTCATAAAATAATAAAACAATGAAATACAGATTTAAATGTGAAAAAGATGATATAAACCATATAATTGAAAAAAAAAAATATTGCTTTCATGAACTTTAAAAAATGATAAATGTCTTTTCTTAGAGCGGGGGATTGACATCGCCTTGTACGCCTCCATTCTTTAGATTGACTGTGTTCATTTAAGAAACCTTACTTATAAATCATTCATTACAAGTTTTTTTTCTAAACATACATTGTTTTTCCTTCAAGAATCCAACAGAAGTGCAAGACTTTAAATTCTATTGTAAAAATTTATTCCTAAATTTATTTATATACATTGTATAACATATACATATCAATCCATTAACAATCTTCTATAGACACATTAGCAGCAATTAACCACATCTGAAAAATAAAACATTTTATTAACTTGAAATATGTACTTAGGACATGAATGCCCTGCCAAGAGTATATTAGTAATGCATTGAACATAAAATTTGTATATGTGTATGAAATTTGATCAGAATATCTTGAATGGTGATGCAGTTGAAAATGCTTTCATCAGTATGTATCAGCATATGAAGTTTGACACTAATTTCAGAAAAGTGAGGTCAAGGTCAAAGGAAATGTTGAAAAGATCTCTTCAGTATGTATCAGCATATGAAGTTGAAACTAGAAAACTGACCAGTCAGCAAGGGCCCCTCCATGGGGTAGAATTAAAAGGGTGCAGCTTACAGAATGATTAATAAATGTACGAAGAATAAGCAACAGCAACTGTATTCTAAAAATTTCAAGATAATTCCTGAATATTCAAAAACCTGAAAATAATATCCTTGTATTTACATTAGGCAGTAAAGAACAACTTAACATTGAATGTATATTTAAACAATTATGAAGCTTGTGTTATATAAAATGCCAGCCTTCAATGAATGCAAATATCATGAAGGCTTGACCTTAACTTCAAACAAACAGCAGTTGCAGACAAAGGTTTTCATTAATCTTAAAGTGACAGATAAAGAAAAGCCTACTAAATTTTCTGCAGCAGGCTAGATAATTAATCCCAAGGGATTAATTGTACCTCTCTCATCATTTTCTTCTAAATTTACAATAAGAATTTTTTCAGTATTAATGATAGAATGGGGTTTTTATACAACTACATTAAAAATTAATAATATTCTTGAATTAATATATTTTTTAAAAAAGTGAAAAAAGTGAAAAAAAAGTAAATCAAAAAATCTTCTTTCATCTATTTCTTTTTTTTAGAATTCAATGAAATCATAACTATCAAACAAAAATAAATAATAAAAATTTATATTTAAATCCACATTTCAGAGTGTTCATAGCATTCCAAATTGATTTAACTTCTAAACAAACTTCATTTGCAGACAGAGGTGGTAATTAATCTCAATGTGACAGATCAAGATAATGCTCTGGATTTTCTTCAGGAGGAAAGCTAATTAATCCCAAGGGACTCATTGCAGCATTCAGTTTACAATGGGAACATCTTCAGCAGTTATCTCTCTTTGCCAATGCATTCTTATATAAAGTTAAGGAATCTACCCCACCACCCCAGCTCCAAACCATGGGACATAGAGAACCAAACTTAGCATCAAAATATGTATTTCTGCCTACTGAACTACCGTACCAAATTTGTACTTGATTGGGCAACCATAAAAAAAGTTGCCCGTTCATTCTTATGCATAGTTAAGGAATCTACCCCACCACCCCAGCTCCAAACCATGGGACATAGAGAACCAAACTTAGCATCAAAATATGTATTTCTGCCTACTGAACTACCACACCAAATTTGAACTTGATTGGGCAACCATAAAAAAAGTTATTAGAAAAAAACAGAAAATTTGTGGACGGAAGAGTGACAGACGGACAGACAGACAGACAGACGGACGGACAGAGTGATTACTATAGGGCACCCGCAAATCCTTGCAGGGCCCTAAAAATATAAAGAATGATTTCTTTAAAACTGACTTAAACAAAATTTGATAAAAGTGAGGTCAAGGTCAAAACCCGTGATGCATTTGAATTGCTTACATCAGTATGTATCAGCATATGAAGTTTGACACTAACTTAGGAAAAAGTGAGGTCAAAGAAAAAGTCAAGGTCAAAATGATGATGCAGTTGAATAGCACTAATCAATATGTATCAACTTATGAAGTTTGATAAAAATATCTTGACTGATTTCATTAAAACTGAGCTAATCACTAATTTAAGAAAAGTGAGGTCAAGGCCAAAGTAAAGATCAAGGTAAAAAACTGTTGATGCAGTTGAATAGCTCTCATCAGTGTTTATCACCCCTAATCCTAACCCTAAGGTCAAAGGAAAGGTCAAGGTCAAAAATGGTGATGCAGTTGAATAGCTCTCATCAGTATTTAGCAGCATATAAAGTTTGATAAAACATATTTGGTGGTTTCTTTAAAATTGAGCTAAACATCAATTTAAGAAAAGTGAGGTCAAGGTCAAAGGAAATTTCATAGTCAAAATATTTCATGCATTTGCATAGCTCTCATCAATATCTATCAGCAAATGAAGTTTGATGAAAATATCTTGGATAGTTTCTTAAAACCGAGCTTTGAACATGGCTAAACACAGTGTGACGGAAGGACAGACGGACATGACAAACACTATATGCCCCAGCCATATTCATGGCGGGGCATAAAAACATGTGCAATGTATGCAGTTAAAAAAATCATGATGATATTGGTTTTTCTCAAGAACAAGTACTATTTCTTATTGAAAGGCTTAAATGATTTACATCAGTGTGTTTCATCTCATATCGTATCTATATTGCTAACTGAGGTAGTCACACAAGCACATACCTGACCCTTCTCCAGGACATGTGACAAGTTTGAATTGTCCACACAAACAATCTGAGCTCCAATCACATGGCCAGGTGAACCATTTTTGTGACACCCTGTACAGGAAACAAACTGTACACAACATTGCTCCTCGTGGCACCAGACACTGTTCAGTTTTATACCTGCCAGTACAAGATAACCATTTACATGCAATAGTTTAAAGAAAATGATGCCCCATAAAATTAAGACAAGTTTTTGATTTGAATCGAATCTGATAAGCACATCTCCCTCTATTAACATGAATCCATACCCCCAGTATCTGCAGTGCATGGCTGGAAAGAGGTCTTCTTTTCTTTGTTTGATGTAAATAGTACAGCCTTGTTCCTGAAGAGGTCCAAATGAGTCAAAAACTTTGGAACTCTTTTTCTTTTTTCATATTCTGAAATTATTATAAAAATAAATTCTAAATGCAAGATTGAATATCAAAATAAAACGTGTAAAGTACTGTTTCATGTAAAGGTATACATCCTGTACTAATTTCTTTTAAAGGTATGGACAAGTATATGTAGTTGTAAATATAAACAAACTATACACACCACCTAGAGGAGTGAGCAGAACCTGGCCACAGACTTTACAGCTGGCTTGTGACTGATTCATAGACTGGAGGAATAAAAGAAAATCACAATTTAAGGGGGAAATTCATTTGTAAGATATTAAGTAGACTTTTGGTTAAAAGAGTCCATATAATTTTTTTCTGTGTCATGATGACTAAACATTTTCCTTTATTTTCTGGTCTAATTCTAGAACCTTAATTACAAGTTCTGGGGCTACTAAAGGGATCAAAGTTGTAATTTTTAATTCAACCTGTCTAAGTACCTGATTTTCTTTGCCCTCCTCTTCACCCTCATCAAAGTCCACCCCTTTCCTGCGCTTGGACATCCTCAAGTTGGACTTCGGGACCGAGGTTCTCTTCAGTCCTCGAGGACCCCTTCTTGTCCTCAAATGACAATCCTCCTCCTTTCCTGAGGTGCCCTCACCCAGAGCTGAGTCCATCTCTGTGTTATTGTGACTAGCTTCCAACAACTCCTTTGTAGCGGCTGATTTTTTACAGCTTTTGAATTCTTTCTCGCTGTCATCACTTTGTACTGTATCATTTGGTTTAATACTGCCCTTCCCTGTTTTTCTAAACAAAGGTTTTCTGCTCATAGACACAGCATTCTTTTGAGTTGGTTCTTTCTTTACAGGATCCTCTTCTTGTGAGTTTTCACCAAACAACACAGGAGTGACAGGCTCCTGTACTTTATTCTCAGGATTTTTTGTCACAGATTCTGCATTCCGAGGATCATTAATGCTACAGAACTTATAAAACCTGTTGGATTTTTCATCAGAGCTTTGATCATTCTGTACTGTTCCATTATTCTCATCTGACTTTCCTTCAACATTCTTCTCTTTCTCACTACTTTTTATTTCTGATGGCTCAGACTGTTCAGTGAGATCTATGACGGGTCCTGCAGACTCTGAGGTAGCATTTGTCTTCTGATTTGTTTGCATTGTTTCAGTAGTAGCTGCCCTTGGTTGCTGACTTGTCAATCCTGGCTTAGTTTGGAAACTCTTGCCAGGTGTGTGTCCCAAAGAAACCTTATTTGGTGTTTGCCCACTGAACTCAGTCTTACCTTGGCCAGTGACCTTGCTTGGTGTTTGACCTTGATCTAGATTTGGGGTTGGTACCACCACCTTATTTCCGGGCTGGGGTGCTGGTTTTGGAGGAGGTTCTATCAGGTACATCTGTTGTTGAGGCGTTCCTTGACCTATAATGATGTAGTACGGCTTGTCTTTAGGAGCAGAGGAAGAGTTAATGACCTTCATTATCTCTGACATGTGATTCAGGGGCTGTGCTGCAGGAACACTTAGCTGGTTATTGTGGGCTAACTGGTTATTTTGGGCCAATACCTCTGGTTGAACCACCTGTCGATTCTGCACCAGGTTCTGGTAACTCTGGTTTTTGTGAACATCAGTGGGTGACATCAGCACACACTGATTTGATTTTCCTGCTCCTTGTTCAGGTGATCCTAGTAATGTGTTTGGGGATTTTATGATGGATTTCAGTGGGGTTTCTAGTGAAAATCCTTTCCCTATAGGTGTCTCTGACCCCAGGGCATAGGGTGTAGAGGTAATTGGCGATGTCATCTGTGATCCTAGGTGTTGACCAGGTGTTACTGGGGTCCCAGGTATAAATGATGTGTCTGGGCTATCATTGAAATTGTAGAATTAATTTTTTGTGTAATCCATACAATTTTTGTTACTTTCTTCTCTGTTCATTTTCAAATTTAATTTCAACATTGAAGACAATTACACATTATTTTAAACAATAATTTGTAGTATGTAATTCAAGAATTACTATATGATTTCTCACTTGACAACTGGCATGTCCTCTTGCCTAGCCTTAGTGAACTTGTCAATGGAGTCCATGGCTGCATCAAAGGTCTGATATGACTGAACCTTCCTTCTCACCCACTTAGACAAACCTAAACATCAAGTCAATTCAGATCAACAAATGCTTCACTTAAACAAACCTACACAGGAGATTCTCCATATCAATGGTGACCCCAAAACTTTGAAATAACTTAAGTGGATGGCATTTTGTCAACTTCAGTCTGATTATTTTCTTTTCTGCAAAGCATTTTCTATTACACATTTTTTTAACATGGGTGCCCAAATTCATCCTACAGATTAACACTATTTTCATTGTCTTAAATATTCAAAATTTATTCAATTGCCTTGAAGCTTAAACTATAGATACAGTGTATATTACTATTTAAGGTACATTTGATAGTGGTTATGATTTACCTTGAACTTTATGGACATTTTTGACAAATCTGTTATCCACCAGGATAATAGCTCCCCAGTCTTTCCTACAACAAATTTCCAGCATAAAATTGACTCACAACCTAAGATAATGCAACATACATGGTAATATTTTTATATTTTATTCACCATTTTCAATAACAATTACAAGTGCTAAAAGCTAAATATAGTGAGCAGCATGGTTGGTAGATATACATGTCCATCCTATATATCAACAACTTTCTGAATAAGGACTATGAAAGTTGAACCATTTACAACTTCAGAATCTGACAGAGGTCTAGGGACTGTTTCAGGGCCCGGAAAGCTAAGATGTCTGGTTATTTTACCCTGGATATGAATAATGATTCAAGTTTTGTACCAATCAGGCACATTATGTTAGCCAGAACATACCTGTGCCTAATGCATCGCCCCAGTGCTTGGTTTAACGCTCGGAAGGCTTGGATATCGTACCACTCTGATCCTGACAGCAGCCCTCTCGATAAGCGATACATGTTGTTAAACTCTTGTTTGAATTTCACCTGTCAAAAAAATTTGTTAGGAAATTAAAAAAATTACTTGGATTTTTTACTACTCATATAATTTTAAACATGAAGATATAGGAAAAAGAGATGTTTACCTGAACATCTTTAGCATTGGGATATGGAATGCCAACCTACAATTTATCAATCATTGTTAAAATCTGAATAAGTGTATTATGAATTCAAGTGCACACATCCATGTACAAGGTATTGATTTACATGTTCATTTCGTTTGCATTTTGATGCACAAGTATTAACAAACCATGAATCCCTTTCTATGCATCTACACACTTGTTAATTTGGAATTTTTGAAATAAATCAATTTTAAATCCAGTTCTAAAATCTATAATTTTTAAAGTTATGTCATACAACACAATAAAAGATGGTGCAAGATATGAAATTCAAAGGTCAATTCTACAAAACATTCTACCAATTACACAACACTGTAACTGTAAGCATGATTATGATAATTTTCTTTGCATCACGTAACAAGTAAATATAAAGTATTCTCACAGTGATTACGGCTCTGGCGTAGTTGTCAGCAAAATCCATCCCCTCACTGACTTTACCCCGGAATACTGCCACAAACAGGGCACCTGTCTTCCTTCCATCAGCTGAAGAAAAAATAAAAATTTCTAAAGGCTGCATGACCAATGATGAGTTTTTGTGTGTTTTTTTATGGGGGTGGAAGGTTGGGTGAAGGGGAGAGAGACAGAGAGAGAGAGAGAGACTCCTCTGACTATTAGTCTGATAAACTGTAATTGTTTTGTTGTACCTTGATCCTGTGACATGTGTATAGAATCATAGTACTGTCTCATCAGGTCCTCAAAATCTACCCTGTCTGAGGCCCGAGGCTCCACCATCACATCCTTATATTCCCTGATCCGATCCCACAAACCCGTGATCTAAAAGATACAGGTCAATATACAAATAAAACACAAGGAAGGAAAAACATTCCATTTCACACTAATCAATGTCATATTATTTTAAATATCATCTTTGGATCATCAACTGCATCTTTTACAAAAAATACCCAATATGTAATTGCATATTGTTAATATTTGTGGATAATTTAGTTTGCACAGATGTTCATGTCATTAAAAAACTATTTGAATAAATGTAATTCAGAAATTAACTTTTCAAGAAAGTTGTAAATATGTGAGCAATTGACATCCATAAAATGCAATTATTCTACCCCAGTGAAACATTATGAATTCCCAGTATACTGTATAAGTGGAAATTTTAGAGAGACGCAAATTTAGCGATTTGTCCTTAAAAACTGGTAATTTCTTTTTAGCGAGATGTTATTTTAGCGATTTTAAAATGCACATTAAAGAAGCTATTACAAATAAAACACAATTAATTTTTAGGGATATTCAATTTTAGCGATCTAGGCACCCTCGCTAATAATGCCAAAATTAAATCCTTGCTAAAAATTCTACATGTACGGTAATTTCTGTAAGGTACTCACCTCCCACCTCGTCTTCAGTTTACCCAGAGTACTGTAGGAGGGAACAAAACACAGGACACCGTGTGGAACTTGCTGAAACATTAAACACAACATACATGTCAGGTAGCTAGTATCATCAAGTTTTCTCATTGAGAGATTCATTCAGTCTTACAGATAAAGAGACACCTAACTCACCTGGCACACTCTGAGGACCAGTTCTCCCAGCTCGTCCTGAAACTGGAGGGTCTCTACACACCTGTACACCGCCTCCAGAGTCCCTCCCCGGGGCCCCTGACCCACCGCCCCCACCCACACCTGTTTGTCCTCAATCACATGGTTAGCCTCCAGTTTGATGGGAAAGGGAACTCCTAACTCAGACTCAAAGGAGTTGATGGGTGATAGAGTACCACTTGTTAAGACCACACTTCTACACATTGACAGGTCAGAAAAGGCCTTGAGAACAAAAATAAACCATTTTTAAATAATAAGATCCATGTGATACAACATGATACAAAAACATTTGTAAATACTAGCAGAGAGACCGATAGAGTAGCCCTTACCACTGCCGGATTCATGCACCAGAAGTTCAAGGACAGTTGAGTGGTCGGCTGAATAGGGGCACCTGCCAATTACATGTAAATAATATTACTGAACTAAAACCACATCATAAATGGTTCAAAATACATTGCAAAATATTACTTTGTCAATCAAATCATCAGAAGTGATAGGAGAATTTATCTAATTCAGGTGCTTACCTCCCCTTCGCCTCTTAGAATTCAACCACATATCGTCCTGTAATATAACAATAAACAACCTCAAAATGGAGTGTTCAAATGACAAGTATCTATTTTCAGCAGGTTAATTTTTTTATAAAATAAATTACCAATCTACCATTTTAAGTAGGAGAAAACATTGTAGCAGTAAAATGCATCTTCGACTATCTCTAAATAGAGAGCATAAGATCAGGCCACAAAGTATAAGGTACTGTAAATCAGGCACCTGAAACGAACTTTCTCTAACATCTGTATCTTCCTTGACTTATTATCTGTACATGTGACTTTTGTGTGTGATATCGGTGTTGAAGTTCTTTTTTAAGATACAAATAAACGTTTGTAGTACATGTAATGTTGGATTCCAGTACTTGATCAGTGAACAGCTGACAATAAATACCCTACCGTGTTAGCATTCCTGGTGTAGACCGTGGTTTTGACCACGGCCATTTTGTAGTCCGTGACAAACTGAAGGTCGTTCTTGTACAGGTAGGTGAACACCTTAATGATGTGTTCCAGTGTCTGTAAGGTGGCACTGCTGAGCTTTATCACTCGCCCAGACATATCCTTCACTATCGTCTCTTTATCTAGAGCTTCCTCAAATACCTTACTCAGGTGTTTCTGAAAGGAACATTTAGATCTAAGCATTTTTTTTGGTAACATTATGTTATGGTCATACCGTATAAGTGGAAATTTTAGCGAGACACAAATTTAGTGATTTGTCCTTAAAAACTGGTATTGTATTTTTAGCGACATGTAATTTTAGCAATTTTAAAATGCTCACTAAAGAAGCTAGTACAAGTGTATTACAATTAATATTTAGCGTTATTCAATATTAGTAATCTCAGCACCCTCGCTTATAATGCCAAAATTAAATCCTTGCTAAAAATTCTACTTATACAGTAGTATTTTTTTTTCTTTGTACAACAACTAAACTGGTTTAAATGGACATTTTTAGCACATTACTTTTGACAAATTGTAACTTGTTGTTGCATGTTTTTAGTTTTATTTTTTCCTAACGCTTTGGGAAATCTCTAAAAGTACCTGCATTTCCTGGAACTGTTTAGGACCTGCCCCGATTTTCTCCAGTCTGACTACGATATCATAGCTTGACCAGCATTTGTACTCATGGTCAAAGTCCATATTCTGTAAATGATCCTGGTTGTCTCGGATGAACCCAAGGAGTCCTGCACACTACAAACATCGAAAAGGAATAACTATACATCATAATGATGAGGCGTTTATACAAAACATAATGAAAACATAACATGAATACAATATTATGAAATGTTCAACCATTGTGTCACAATGAAAATGTTTAACTATTAATAAATCATATATAGTATAATTATTACACCGAAAAACATTTTGTACAACATAGAAATATGAGGTTATATGGCTAAAAAACATCAGCGATTCTTTTGACTTACCAGCTGCCTCACTCTGAGATGTTCTGCTGTAAGGATCTCAAACTTAACTGTGAAGAAAAACAAAACAGAATGTACAGTGAAACACAGTTATAGCAAACAAGCTTATAATGAAGTCATGCTTACAGTGATTTCCATTTCTTATGGTTTTCAATTCAGATTTGTGCACAGAACTGATATAATCAATTTAATTTATAACAATTTGAAATTGCTGGCCCCCAGTTTTTCACTTCAAGTTTGTTTTTCTGTAATGTATAACATTCAAAACAGGATTCTCTGTAGCTTAATTCTTGGGCATGAGTAAAATTTCATATTTCAATAATTTAAAAAATTTCTAATTTTAATAAGATTTTAACACTTTCCCTTAATTCCCAAAGTTTCTTACTGAGTTCATCCAGTTCATTGATCGCCTTTTCGAGAATGTCGTCCCCTATTTTCTCCCCGGCCGCTTCCCGAGATGTGTCCTCCATATTGTGGGCCTCATCCAGAATGACAACTTGACCTTTGAGCTGGATCTCCATCTAACATAGAAAATACTCCCAAATAATCCAGAGCATATAACGCAAGATTCAAAGAGTACTCCCAAAGTCTCTAGAGCATAGAAGACCTGATGGTTCTAAGGGATTTACTGTTTACCAACTCTTAAATTTAAGAAATTTCCAAAAGATGCACAGGCAACCCCAGGACACCTTCATTATACTATATTTTCAGGGATTGGTGTTCCATTTGCAATCACTTATAAACCATGAGTACCGGGTAATAGAAATTAAAAAAAAATAATTTTATGTCAGTTCAAATTGTTTAATCAAATAAAAAATATAAATCCAAAACTGTTATCAAAACAGCTATGCCCTTTTCACCAAAATGAGAAATGATAGGTTGTGTTACCGTGTCTCTTATGACTGGGTCAATCAGATAGTTGTACGGACAAAACACAATGTCTGCTCCACTCCTCATATCTCTGGTGGCAAAATACGGACAAACCTAGGAATAAAGCGTAACATTTAGAATGTTCTAAACTTTATATATTGAGGTTTGGACTGTTAACATTAATAATATTCTAGATATTACAATGTAGTCTGAACTTTTGAGAACTGATTTTATGCAATGTTGGGCACATCTGTAACCATATTTATGAGCCTGTGACCTTGAGAGTTTTAGAGAGTCCTACAAAATCCTCGATATCCCACGCCTCAGTTAGGCCATGCTTCTTCATGTAGTCCTGTGTGGCCGGGACTCTCTTTAAACGGTCGTTAAATTTACATCCAGGACCCTGAAATTCAGTATGAATGGTATTCAACTTTTCTAAACATAATCTCATTTTACTCGCAATTAAAGAACAATTTTCTTTTTTTTTTATCTTTGGTGCTGACCTCTGTATATTGCTTTAACTTCAATTTTCAAATTCATTATTTTATACAAAAAAAATTTGTTACCTTAAATTAAGGATTTTTGTCCAACTATTGAATATGCATGATTTTAAAATTTTCATTATCATTAATTTAATTTGTTAAAAATTCTGAAGTGCTTGTAAGATACAGTAGAACTCGTACATCCAGTAATTCCTTACAGCCCTCGTTCTTGCCCCTCATCTGACTGACCGCTGGGTGTATACAGGTGTGTTCCCGTGCCGCCAAAATGGTCATTCTGCAGAAAAGTTGATTAATATTTTAATAAAGATATATAATACACTGACAGAAGGATGGAAGACAACCATGATAAACATTATATGCCCTCACCACATTCATGGTGAAGTCACAGACTGTACAAAACTGACAGTACATGTATCATTGGATATTTTTAGTGGACAAATTTCTCTCCTATCTTCCCATTTTAAAGGTATGTGACCACATGTCCCTATTCACTTTATTAATTTGAAATCTGTTTATTGAAGTATGTTTTGAACCAAAAATGAAGGGAAAAATGAAAACACATAAAATAAATGAAAAATTTTACTTATAATATCAAGTTAATTTCTAAAATTTGATTGGGATTAAATGTCCTTGTAAAATCTTGCCATTTTATCTTTACAGTAAGATTATTAAGTTTCATCAGGTGCTTTGTCTTACATAACTTACTTGACTTCCCTGTAAGCTGTTTTCTTCAACTCTCTGATGATCTGTGCAATCTGTTTATGTGTTCTGGTTCCAAAGTAAATCTTAGGTACCCTGGAAAAGATAAAAAGTAAATCTTATAAACTGTCTGCCCTTTAAAATGAGCTGGATTTATGCAATATTATTTTTTTTATTCTCATTCTGGTCAGCAGTTCAATATTTCTGATAAATGATAGATTTATAGAAGTCACAAGTAACTGAAAAAAATTAAGTTATTTAAGGTAGTCCTATTCTTAGTTTCTGAAAATGGTCAACTACTGAGTAAATGAAAATTTATATAATTATTAAAGGTAATATGTATTCTTAGGAAAATAATGTGAATAAGCTCCAAAAGTACATTTTCTAATTGAAAATTGATCAATAAATATTTTAAGGATAAATATGCATCCAAGTTTTTAGAGAAAGTTACATTTTTTAAAACAATTTCATTATTTAAACTGTTTTATCTTCATCAATTTAATATTGTATGATACATAGTATAAAAAAGTTTGTGCTATTATTTCATCACAAATCACTATAAATTTCAATATCCTGCCAATAAGCACTGGTATCTTTAAATTAAAGGAAATACAAAGAATCTAAACATGTTATAATTTTTTTTGAATTATTATGGGCTGCAAACATCAAATTTTTACAAGATCAATTCTAAAAGATCAAAAACCTTCAAAGATGTGAGTATTTATAAACAGTGTATGAAACAAATATTGTTGCATGAAATGATTTCCAGTTGAAGCTTCACTCATTCTCTCTAAGTAAATACACTGTAAATTCAAATATTCCAGCTAATGGCTTTAATTTTCTCAAAGTAAATTGATTTCTTTAAATTTCAATTTGTGCAGTTTTATTGTAAATATTTCCCCTCAATCAAATTGATTTTATGTAAATATCAATTTGCAGAGTATTTTAAATGATACTTAAATTGCAAAGAAAAGAAGAAATGAAGTTTTATGTGTTGTTAGTAATCTAATGTTTGGTAACTCAGAGCCGCATATACAACATTATATAACATTTAGAATCTGACACATTGTCAATTTTAAATGTATTTTATCTACAAAGCAATCCAGCTCCACGCATAAACTTAATCAGATGGGAAAATGAAGACGTCAGTTTCATTGGCCCTTCAATATCTCTTACTTGGACTATTGGCTCATTATCTGTAAATCTGACAGTGCTGATCAAGTTAAATACTGCATCAGCATACATCAAAACTATTCAGAGGAAAAAAACACCATTCAAAGTCACCAACTTAATTAAGTAATGTCATAGTGATTTCCTTTATGCTGGGATGAAAGCCGTATTGCTGCAATTTATCGGACTACTGCTGTAACAAGCCTCACTAAACATCCATCGCCCATTTCCTGACAAGGACATCTTCAAAGATTCTTACACAATTGGTGAAAATGACCACGCTAAACTCCCCAAATGGCCTAATTCTATTTCCCCATCTAGCCAATTTTGCTTTCCCTTGTGCAAAAAGCAATTGGATTTGAAACCTATAATGTTGTCAATTTCATTTCTGTATCTCTGGCAATCTGTGATTATTTGGTTGGCCAAACACTGATTTCGGAGATTACAGACCCCAAATCAAATCATCTAGCCAGTTTCAGCCTTTTCCCCCTTTAGTTCCATTTCACTTTTATCCATTACTTGGCCTTAATAAAATCATTTGTTGTTCTAAATCACATCACTGGGAGTTTTATTATTCTAATTAACCAAAAACTTTGAGGCCCTTATGATATGAACACAAAATCACAGATGGAATTTAAACATTTACTGTATAATTCTGTATAATAATAAAATACTGGGAAAAACAAATATTTGTTAACCAGAATAAAACCTCAAATGGAAATAATACCCCCCAAAAAGTCAATATATATATACAAAACATAAAATTACATACAACATGTACAAGGATATGGATTTTTTAACTCCATTTTACAAGCATCAAAATTGTCATTATTTTAAAGAAGCCACCAAGAGACAAAAACCCTAGAGATATATTGAGAGCGATTTTCTGATCAGAGTCTGCTAAGGACCTGCTTAAGATGAGTGGCAGCTAGGTCTATCTGAGAGTGACAGGAGCTTGGGAGGTTCATGAATAATGTAACAGGCCGTCAGCGAGGTGCTGGCAGTCCACGAAGCCTCTGGGGAGAGACTGCGGGGCTCAGTAGAGACCGTACAGAAATCACACGTTGGTGGCCCAATCAATCAAACACGACCCGGCACCTTGGAGTAGACAAACCTTCTGTTGCCTGACAAGCGAGGTGTGAACCCGTATTTATCATCGCACATTTATTGCTAAAAACATCACCAATGTTTCAACCTCCGTGTCACATTGTTTACAAATGAAGTAAGCCCACATGTTGGGTGGTCCTGTCTACCTAGTTTATCATGATCAAATTAATTAATTCAAATCATGTGTAAATTTACATGTAATGACTTCTCATTGTCTGAAGCCTCCACCGTGCAATGTGTGAGTGATTTACCATTACACAAAATTTCGGAGAAAAGGGGAAGGTAAAAACAGACATTTTAACGACCATTTACGCAGGTAAAAGATAATAATATCTTAATAATGAGTAAATTATTCTGGAGACAAGTGATACGTTTATAATGTCATTCCCTGGGCTGATGATGACACTTTAGATTTAATGTCACAATTTATTAGAGAGAGGTAAGTAAATATACATATACCTACATGCCTCGTTTGCTTTATTACTCATTTACAAGAAAATATAATCTATTAAAATTAGCTTATGACCCTGACATCAGCATATGACCTACAAAATAACAGTTACCTGAAAGGTTAATATCTGAACCCTGCCGCATGTACCTTGTACATCTAATGAAGGTATTTTTCTTGAAAGAATAATCTTATTACCGAACAACTAAAACAATAACACTGGACAAGGTAAAGGAAGCTAATGATATTATATATAGAAAACAAGGGAACCTTTCCTCCTTTTTCAACCCCCCCTCTCCTTCCTTCCCTCATTGCCCTGGGGTCATCCTTGGTGCATGTCATATTTCTTGCATTTAATTTTTTTAAAATCAACTATAATACTGTTCTCTTGTACAACTCCTGAAAAATCATCCAAATTAAAATAGCGGGGTTGTCCCTAAGAATTGAAATAGAAGGGACATTTAGAAATTAGAAGGGGATCTAGCGTTTCCCTTATAATTGAGAGTTTTGGTGGAATACCAAAATAAGTGGGTGATTACATCACAATAGGCAAGGAAATTCCCTGGCCCCCAGGTCCTAGGGGCAGCCCTGAAATAATATGGTGTTTACTTTTTGCTGACAGTGAGCATTTCGAAGAATATTTGCATTGCAGATCATCATATTTGATGATATTTGAAACATTCAGAATCACACAATTGTTTCTGTATCACTTACTTCATGGGTTTAGGTTCATAAGGCCTAAAATAAAATATTGTTTGTTTGCTGTTGCCGACCAACCCATTGAAAATGCATCCGACCCAAACTTTTTTTTAGCAATTTTGTAATATTATTTTTTTCTCAAATTTTTCAGGATATTAAAACTGTTTCATTTTCAATTTTTGTCTTCATCAATCATTAGTTTATACAAAGAGTGCAGCTTATTCATGTATAGTAGGCCTATGAAAAACTCTATTTTATGTTATCTAACAAAAATCTGGAACAATTTTTTTTTCAAAAAAAAAAAAAAAATTCCCTCCCTACCTACCCAGACTAAAAATTATAGGTCGGCAACTGCAAACAAAGAATTTTTTAAGCTTGGCCTAAGATACAAGGTTTACTTGATTCTGTTATAGAGGTCTGTATCACTTACTTTCTAGCTTTAGGTCCATCACCAGCACAACACGTACAAGGTTTACTTGATTCTGTTAATTTCTAACTAGATAGAGGTCTGTATCACTTACTTTCTAGCTTTAGGTCCATCACCAGCACAACACGTACAAGGTTTACTTGATTCAGGAGATTCCATATTTTTGGCAGCTTCATCAGCGGGGGATGAAGTCTCATACGAAATAGGAAGATGTCTTCTGGCATTCTATAAATAGATTGATATTATCATAAAATGTTTTTCTAAAAATATATATATGTCGAGTTAATGGACTGGAATTTTGCATTCAATTTGAACAATTTTTCTGCTATCCTAAGGTCAAAGGCCAAGGTCAACACATGTACACAGCATAATGGCATATTACAGTTTTACGTCTTACAACACCAAGTCAAAACTGTAAACCAACACCTCAAAGTTTTAACATGAAGATCTAAGAAATAGACAACATGCAGGATAAGATAGGGTCTTGATCTAAGATGTTATGCCCAAGTAAATTTATTTCAGTCATTTATTTATTTTTTGCCTAAACTTTTAACTTTGGGCAATTTAAGGATGTATTGGTGTCTTGGTGATTTGTTTATTTCCTGTTGTACTGCTATAACAGTTTCTAGGGCTGGGACGATATATCGAGATATATGAGAGGGCAATACGCATATCGATACATATGAAGAAATATCGAAATATCGCCCAAAAAAAATCTGACATCTGTATTTCTTTAACATTTGGGGTTCCATATATTAAAAAAATAAGCTAAATATACATATAGATATGAAGAAAATAATAATTCACACTACTTGAGAAAAATATTTTTGTTTTACAACATATAAACAACTATTTTAAATGAATTTTTCATATTTGCAAAGAAATAATTTTATTTCAATGCAAAAAATTTTTTATAAGCAATTAAACATATTGTGATACATATTGTATCATGGCTCAAATATCGTGATACGTATCGATATAGAAAAAGTTGTATCGTCCCATCCCTAACAGTTTGCATTGCAGATGTGTACATTAATTAATTGTAAAAATATGTATATGCTTGTAATGCACTTAATATTTTTAATACCATTACAAACATATCCTTAATCATGTGTGGACAGTAACGTTAGCCTAGTGGCAGAGCGTTAGCTTCATGATCGGGAGGCCCAGGTTCAATTCTCGTTTGTGGCGCCGTGTCATACCTAGGACGTAACCATAGGTAGTGACTTTCGCCAAGCACTCAGCATCAGAGGAGAAAATCACAGGTCTTTCAGATATGACCTTAAAAACGTAGGTCCCGTGTCACGGTTGCATACTTGCCAACTCACCCGATTTCGTCGGGTCACACCCGATTTTTCAGCCCGTAACCCGATTATTTTTTATGACCCGGCGGGTCATGCTTATCACCCGATTTTTGCCAAACAACCCGAAAATCTCCCGATTTCCGGATTTGGTTCGTAAATTAGGTTGCACTTTTAACTTCCAGTTAAAACCCAAGCTTAACTAAGATCTACGCGTAAACAATGCCGATGGATTAATTATCAGTGCAGGTGTAAACAATTAACTGGGTGTTGTTTTGACAATTCAATGTTTGAAGTCAATCAAAATGGCTTCCGATAGAACTAGATCGTTATCAGGGCCAACAGGAACAAATTGAACCAAACACATGTCTCTGATTGAACCAAGAAAAAGAGAAACGATATTTATGTACATATCTAGGAATCTTGGGGAAAAAACTTTCATTCTAGATAAAATAAAGTGATCGAAGACAGTGTAGGCCTAACTTCACATTTAAAACATATTTACATTAGTTAATTAGTTAAGAGAGAGGAAAAATAACTTCAAAACTGAAATTGGTATATTTTCAAATTTAGCAGAAACTGAAACGTGAAAAGGCTTTAAAAAGAAACACTTATATACTTCTGAATCAGGTCAATATTGAAATATGAAACCTTCAATTCTCATTTTTAACATGTAAATTAAATCAAATTATATATGAATTTTTTTGTCATAGTAAATTAAATCCTTTTTCAATAAAAGAATTCTCAATACACAAATACTTTGTATATTATATTATAAAATTTAATCATGGTAATTATGTCGTGAATGTCGTTACGCATTATGACCAGATTTTTTACTTTCCAAATCTGGTCATGACCAGATTTTTACATGCTGGAGGTTGGCAAGTATGCACGGTTGGCGTTGGCATGATAAAGACCCCTCAATGCTCAATGGCCCTGAGTGCCTAGTATAGATCTAAATTTGAAGCCTTTCACCGGCATACGGTGACGTCTTTACATGAGTGAAAAGTTCTCGAATGGGACATTAAACAATATACAATCAATCATGTGAACATGAAAACCTGAAGATTCAAATCAGGGTCTGACAAATCCCATTGCCCGACGCCCGGGACTAGTGAATTTTAGAGGCGGGCAAGTGAATTTTTAATAGGCACTTGCCCGTTGGCAAGCGACTTTAAAAAAAATCAATCAATAAATATTTTTAAAAATGTCGTAGTTTTCCACGAAATTAAATTATTTTGTTGTAAGAGTTATCTTCCTTTGTTTGTCACACTTCATATGCAAACCAGTTTAATTGTGTCATCATTATGCAATTCATTACACGTTTTACCAAAAGTTTTAAGTACATGTATTTTAACTTACTTAAAAGTGACAATCTGGCATTAGAGAAATGGAGAAAGTTTTGACAGTTATGAGGCCGAAAAATATCCAAAGCTGATGATAAGTACATCGTCCATAACAGAGTTAGTGAAAAACTCAGTACAAAATCGTCTAAGCATACCAGGTATGAGAAAAGAAAAAAAAAACAAATGTCCGAAACCATTATTTTAAACAAATAGCAGATATCATGACTATAGCTGAAATATGATAGCAATTTTACGTCTCTACATGGGTGGAAAATTCTCGAACGGGACGTAAAACAGCATACAATCAACCAACAGATTGCATGGTACGTAGTACTTAATGGCAGGTGGTTTTTAAATGTCACCAATATTCAAAACAACAATCCTAGGTTGCAAAATTTTTCGATTTAGAGACAAATTAATTCATTATGATGAATATAAAGAGCTGGTAGGGCAAGTAAAAACTGAAGTAGAGCAAGTGAAATTTGACCATGCACTTGCCCATGGGCAAGTGCTTGAAAAATGTATTTGTCAGCCCCTGCAAATCTTAGATGCTTTCAAATTATCATCATGCCATATTGATATCCAGTAAAAAGTTAAGTAAAACATATCAGAGTTCAGACAATTACTTACAGTGACCTTTAGTGTGACAGACCACATTACATGTTAGAGACAATTTAGATTCTGAATCTTACTGCAGTAAGTTATGTTTGCAATTAATACCAATGTATAATTTCTCCTTCCTACTGCATGAGTGAATCAAACTTGAAGTTTGTCCTTGAGGGAAATTCATACATACAATAATGAACTCATCTACTTGTTAATAAATATAATAACATCATAAATTTTAAGTGGTTCAAATATTAAATCATATTGCAAATGTATGAGGCTTCTTGAAAACTGTTTTTATTTTGATATTTATGGGTGTCAATCTCAATCCATGTTTTGTTGTAATTTTGCAGTTTGAACATTAAAATGAGCTTTAGACCTTATTGCTCACAACTGTATAAATATTAATCCATTATTGAGCCTGAATGTCAAATAAGTAAAAAGTAAGTCCTAAGTACAAGAAAGTTACTTGAGCACAGTTTTAATCAGATCAAAAAGGAGTTTTCCACTTAAGTATAGTAGCTTGGTCCCTTTTTTCGCCCTTATTTTACAGAATATACTTGAGGATATGGAATACTTTTTATTTTCATGGTGTATAACATAGTATTTCTGATTAAAATTTTGTACAATCATTATTAATGATTTTGAGTATCAAGAAATAAAAGCCAATTTTCAACACCTACTGCACATACAAATTCCGGAACATTTTCTTTCGGACTTAGTACGGTTTTTCTATTATATTCACATGGGTGGAGACATTTAAATTAGGTACTATATAAAGGAAGACCGTAGTGAGCGTTAACGTGAGATAAGAAATAATTACAGTGTTGTAGGGGTTATAAAATGTTCAATAAGCTTGAATTTTATTTTGCGCAATTCGTATTCTTCTTAATTTGGCGTGGGTGAGTGGTCTTCTTTTTGTTCTTGAGGTATTTTTGGTCTGAAAATCCCCTAATCACTTTTCTGCATCTATCAAATATATTTACCACTATACTAATTTTCTTCCATATGACAATTTAAAAAGTACAAGCGATCGAATAATAAATTACGGTAAATACACACAGAAATACACTTCCTTTCCTTTGTAAAGGGGGAGCTGAGAAAAAATAAACAATAAACCTGAACAGAAGTTTGATAAATTTAAGCAAAATAAAGAGTTAACGCTTCTAAGCTTAAAAAATCGATTATGTAGGAGTGGGCATTAAACTTTTACTCATTTTTATTTGAAAAATAAAACAACAATTTCAATCTGTGTTTATAACTAAAGGCGTAAGAAAGATTTTTTTTGGGGGGGGGGGGCTAAAGTTTTATGGGTTACCCCCTCCCCCTGATACTACATTCCTGATATGTATATTTATTTCTTAATTTTGGTCTAAATTCCGCAATAAATTTTCCGATTTACTTATCGATTATTGTTTAAAATATACATGGCGTGTAGAAATCGCGTAATATACATGTGTATAATCACTTCAACAACAGTTGTTGAATAATAAAAACATAATTATTATACTTTTTAGGATTCTTAATATTCTTAATAAAAAATATTACAAGATTGATTAATGAAATTCAATCTCAATATTCATCTACTTCATTGCATTAATACATTCGAAGTTTTGTCCGAGTTTATATGCACCCAAAACGTGACAAAAGTGGAAGGTGTCTTTGAATATTGAAGTGGTCAGTACAGTGCATTTGTTTTTATAGACTGACTAAATGTGAAGAAATTGTAATGTCTTTGGTATTTTTGCTTGTTTTTTTCTTTTTCGCAAGAAATTGATTAAATGTGTATTTATATACATCTACTCACGAGTACATTATTGTGTTGTTCGCAGTGACCAGCTAGGAAACTTGCAATTACATTATTAAATTAAAATATGTCCATGAAACTGTCCATTGGAAGTTTAAAATGAGTAATATTCTTCGAAGCCTATAGAACCTTCTTTTGAATTTTAAAAAATAAAAGCTGGTGACTGCACTTTTCAAATACAAGCTACATGTGTCGCTTCTTAGAGAAAACACGCTTTCCGGAGGTATTCACCTGCACGGCGGAATGGAATCACGTGACATATTATCTATTCTTAGCAGGTCAACAAGGGGTTAATCTTATGTAAATGTACTCACCAAACAGATTCAAAACCATGCTACTTTTAAGTAGCAAACATACAGCGCAAGGTTGTTCAACAAAGATATTTTGACACAATGTGTATTGATATAATATACATATCATATTTTAATCTCGTCTTTGAACAAATCTGCGCTCGATGTTTACGAAAGCTGAGAAGTAGGTACCTGTCACAAATTTCTTTTGATATTCATGAAAATCAAAGGACCCCACCATGAAAACACAGCTTCGCGTGTTGTCTATTTCAATTATTTAACATTTTTAAACTTTGATGCAAATACTACAGACATGAGAGAATAATAAAATTTACTTTTTAAGTGTCTTAATGAAAGTTTTAAATTTGAAGAGTAACCGGGGACCACAAATAATGCCTTATTGAGACTTCTTTATCTAATACTAATTTCTGATGAAATCATTTGTCTAAATGCAATAATATGTGTTATTTCTGTACCAAATTTTACTGGTCTAAAACCAAAACTACAGAGTAAAAAAACCAGAAGTCTCTGTCGAGACTGTAGCTCTACTGGTTTATACCTAAAACAAAGGAAGAGAAAAGTAGCAGTTGGGACTTGAGACTTTAAAACAGCTATAAGTAAAAAAATAATCCTTGCCACTCATCAAAATAAAAACCTATGCACATAATTAGGCCAAAAAAAATTAATTAATTGTTTCTCGGGCCAAATTTTTAAAATTTTGATGAGGCAGGCAGGTTTTTTTTTTTTTTTTTTAATAAATTTCAAAAGGCATCAAATGTAGAAATAGCTTGTTGTGTTACTTTTTTATTGTGTATTTAATAGCATATAATGAAATACAAAAGCACAGTTTATTTCCCTCTTTTCTTTGTTTTAACAGTTTCTTTAAGATTAACATGTTTCCTTTTCAAAGGAAGAGTTTTTGTAGAGGAACAATTAAGACACATGGGATATGCCCCTGCTTCATTTGCAGCTCATCTTCCTCACCACAGTGAAAACACAAGTCCTTGAAACATCCTGAACTGAAATATGGAACTTCTAATGACATTTCACATGTTAAGTTGGCCCTGGTGAAACATTTGTCTAATAAAGCATTCACTTGTGGTGTTCTGTTATCGGCAGTCTTAAGTTCTTGCAGGGATGACCCACACGTATATTGAATTAACTGCTGAATGCGCTCTATAGTGGCCATTTCCTGCTCTGACAATTTGTTAGCAGCATATACTACACAAGGTTTTTCACATTCTGTACAAATAAACACACACTTTACTGTTTTTGCTGCTTGCGCACTTGGGGAAAATGGTATCCCATGACCTGGATTCGCTGTAGCCCTTTGCTGAAGAGATGGCCTGTGCTCCTCCGTAGTTTCACTACCATAAACTTCATCAAATGACTTGTAGTGCCCATCTTCACCTATTAAAAAAAGCATCCTTTTTAAAATTGAAATCTGTAACTTGTATTTCATGTATTATTCTATTCATATTTCAAATATCTCTCTACACTGATCTTTATTTTCTATAAAAATTATTTGAAAATACACATATATCATAAGCTGAAACTTTAAATACGGTACCGGGTACTCAGTATTGGGTCTGGAAATCGATGTAACTGCTCAAAAACCTCAGGAGGCAAGCGTGGCCTAGTACAGATGGAACAACTTGGATCAGCACATTTTTTTATTAATGCAAAAGGAGTAAGACCTGGATGTAGTACAATGTTCTAAAAAGGCTTTTAACTCTGGCCTACAAAGTTAGAGCAAACTGTTTTAATAAATGTATGTACTGTACATTATCATTCTAAACTTCAGAACAAAAATTTATTTTCTGAACCAATACTTACTGTAAATCTTATGTAACGTCCGAATAGAGACACTACTTCTGATAAGTGCACTGAAGGCATAACACGATCAAATGAATCTGTTTTAGAGCGACCGACTTCTACAGTACAAGGGGATTAACAACTTTTCTGGGAAAGTGAAAAATTCCAAGTCCAACTTGCCACGTTTCAGGTCTTCGTAAAATTCCCCCACTGAACAGCTGTCGCTAAACCCCCCAATTATACTCCATGGTAATATTATGGACGTTCCACTCACAATCTGAGCTGATAACAGCGACATGATCGATATATCCCGCGAAAAATCACGTTCTTTCATTTTATTCCGAGTCACTTAAGCGTTTGTTATTGTTTGGATAAAAGAAAAAAACCTACAACGATAAGATACGAAAATTCCGGAAAAAATATAATGGTAAAAAAAGTTGATGCGGCTCTGATTTTACCGATGCGGCGGTGCCTGAGAAACAATTTATTAATTTTTTTTGGCCTTATGTACCTTAGTATAGTCTACTTGTGTGCCAAGTTATATTGAAATCGGACCAAAAGAGTAGGAGGAGTAGCATTTTGAAAGAATTTCACAGAAATTTTTATTTTTAGTAACCATGGCAACACCGTTCATCAAAATCAAAAACCAATGCACAGAATTATGTATCTTAGTGTAGTCTACTTATGTGCCAAGTTATATTGAAATCGGACCAAAACTTTAAGAGGAGTAGCATTTTGAAAGAATTTCACAGAAATTTGTATTTTTAGTAACCATGGCAACACCATTCATCGAAATCAAAAACAGATGCACAGAATTATGTATCTTAGTCTAGTCTACTTGTGTGCCAAGTTATATCAAAATCGGACCAAAATTGTTGGAAGAGTAGCATTTTGAAAGACTTTCACAGAAATTTCTATTTTTAGTAACCACGGCAACACCGTTCATCGAAATCAAAAACCAATGCACAGAATTATGTATCTTAGTGTAGGCTACTTGTGTGCCAAGTTATATTGAAATCGGACCAAAACTGCAGGAGGAGTAGCATTTTGAATAATTGTTTACTGACAGACAGACAGCTAGACAGACGGACAGACAGACAGATGGACGGACGACGGACGCATTACTATCGCATAAGCTCTTCTGGTCTCTGACCAGTAGAGCTAAAAATAACTAGAAAACTGACCAGTCAGCAAGGGCCCCGCCATGGGTAGAATTATAAGAGTGCAGCTTATGGAATGATTCAAAAATATATGACAAATAAGAAACAGCAATTGTATTTACCGTTACATAAGGCAGTAAAGAACAACTCAACACTGAATGTATATCTAAACAATAATGAAGCATGTGTTACATAAAATGCCAGCCTTCAATGAATGCAAATACATACCATGAAGGCTTGACCTTAACTTCAAAACAAACAGCAGTTGCAGACTAAGGTTTTCATTAATCATAAAGAGACAGATAAAGATAAGCCTTCTACATTTTCTGCAGCAGACTAGATAATTAATCCCAAGGGATTAATTGTACTTCTCTCTTATCACTTTCTTCTGAATTTATAATAAGAACTTTTTCAGTAATGATAGACTGAGGTTTTTATCCTACTACCTTAAAAATTAATAATATTCTTGAATTTACATAAAGCAAGAAAAAAAAATACATAAATAAAAAAAATATATATTTACTTTAATCTATTTTTTTGTTTTAAGAATTCAATGAAATCAGAACTCAATGTGTAGGGTATTTCAACAAAAAAACAGTAAAAACATTAATACTTCAATCCACTTAGATGGACTTAACTTCAAAACAAACTTCAATTGCAGACAGAGGTGGTAATTAATCTCAATATGACAGATAAAGATGATGCTTTGGATTTTCTTCAGGAGGAAAGCTAATTAATCCCAAGGGACTCATTCATTGCAGTATTCAGTTTACAATGGGAACATTTTCAGAAGTTATCTCTCTTTACCAATTCATTCTTATATAAAGTTAAGGAATCTACCCCACCAACCCAGCTCCAAACCAGAGGACATAGAGAAACAAACTTAGCATCAAAATATGTCTTTTTGCCTACTGAACTACCATACCAAATCTGAACTTAATTGGGCTACCATAAAAAAAGTTATTCGGAAAAAACAGAAAATTTGTGAACGGAAGAATGACAGACGGACAGACAGACGGACAGACAGACAGACAGACAGAGTGATTACTATAGGGCACCCGCAAATCCTTGCGGGGCCCTAATAATACAAACTAAATGATCACCAATAAATTATTCATTTCATAAACATAGAATACAGTTTAAAATTAAAGCTGAACATGATTCGTAAAAGGAATTTGTCTGCCATATTCAACAGGACTCTCCCTATATCTGAGGACCCCTATCTAAAGTCAGTGTTCAGTGTAACCAATTGTCCCTCATGTAGACGGAGGTATGCTTTACAGCACTCGGTAGTGACAAAAAATAACTGTGCTTCTTCTAATGCAGGAGAGTAAGATGCCAGAGAGACTTACACCAGTTGCACAAGTCAGTGCAGTATACAAACATAAATACATGTAACTGCAATAAAACGTAAACAGCTAATGCAAGATAACCAGCACGAACATGGGTAGCCATTCCAGGCCGATACCCTTGACAATAAAGCAGTCATACGTAGCGAATGCCAACAGTATACCCTGGTGCTGATATCGTAGATAGTAATATCAGAAACGGTGTATGCCTATTTACGAGTCGTGTTCAGCTTTAACAAGTACGACTTAGCTCTTTACCTGTTTAAGGTTTCCAGGTGTTCTAAAATTACCTGGCTGCTGGAAATCCTCGTCATCATCGTTATCACCAAAACCTGAGGGGCTGGCAGAAATAGCATCCAGAACACTTTCTGTAACAACAAAGCAAAAGTTATACAGATAATGCATTCTTTTGTGATATTCTCTAAATCTGCATTCATTTGCGACATTCTCTAAATCTGTATATCAACCTGGTGAGATCATAAGATAACAAACATTTATTTTTTAACTATACTCACTAATTCTGACATAGTTCTCTATAGATTTTTTCAACACTACACTCATTAATTCTACACTTGTTCTCTGTTTATTTTTACACTATACTTAATCATTCTGGTCTAGTTCTCTGTTCATTTTTACACTGTACTTAATCATTCTGGCCTAGTTCTCTGTAAATTTTTACACTACACTCACTCTTTCTCACATAATTCTCTGAAGATTTATTTTTACACAATACTCACTACGTCTGGCCTTTTCCTCTGAAGATTTATTTTCACTCTCTTTTCTTTTTTCACCGTTACAAGTGCAATGTGTCTTAGTATCTGTTTAGAAATTGTACATATGACTAGTATGCTTCCACTAATAAATTTAATTAAAGCAAATTTTTTTGTGGTCTGACAAATAAAAAATCATCAAAGGTATCTACTTTCTATCAAACAAACCTTTGTCACTTGAATTTAAGAGCTCCTTTTCCCTTTTATCTGAAAGTAAAGTAAATGCATACTTTAACTGGAGTTATTTTACACTATCGCATTCTTTGGTCTACATTGAACAATAAATTTCTTTCAATAATAACAATATTTAGAGAATGTGAACTAGCCTAACAATTCAAGTCTTGGCTATATTATGTGTTGTAACACTGTTGGCTGGATTGTAGCTACTGTTTTCTCCTAATTAGTGTCCAGTTATTGAAGTGAAAGAGGAAGGGTTTATGATTATTTGGCCAAAAATGTGTCTAAAATACTGGAAGGAAACAGGACCTTTCTATCAATTTACTGTGTGTAATGCAACAAGTATTATATGTGACAATTTTTATCTGTGAAATGCTAATGAGATAGAAAGATGGTCCAAGATGATTAATATTCAAGATCTAGCTTTCCTGTTTTATTCACCTTATGAAATATTTTCCTTTCAAAATATTAAAATTAAATGTTTTGCTCATTGAAGAGGCAAATATATACTGGCAATCTGTGATTAGTAATATATGTAAAATAGAAAATATGAATAAATGACAAATTTGAAAAAAAATATATATTTTCTCGATTTGAGGAAGAAATATTGGATCAAAGGATCAATTTCATAGTTGAAGAAGGAACATCATATTTAAGTACTAAATTTAAACACTTTTTGAGATTCTGTGTGTCTCTCCAGACCATACCAACAATGAAAATTTAGCCCCCTCAAAATTAGTGATTTCACAGTACTTTAAATTTTGTCTACTAACTGTACTCTGCAGTCTGCCAGGCCAATGCAGAACACAACAGGGCCAAACTTTTGCCACTGCCTGTAGGGCTCTCCAAAAGGCAGTTCTCCCCTCTCTCTATCCCTTTGATCACCTGTAATTTAAATTTACATTTATTATAATAAGGAGGTAAATAATTATGTCCCTTGTACTTTATGATAATGAAAAAACAGAAAACCACAGCTCAATATAAAATGGAGAATAAAACTGATGATAAGTTTGATTTATGTCTTTTAAATGGCTGTGTGTAAAACTACAATATGTTTTTCATTACATGTACTACATGTACTTTTATCTCTATTTGAAAATGACAAAACAAAGTTAATGTGTTAATTACATTTCACCTCTGACATAGACGGCTTAAAACTAAAACTGTTTGTAAGAATTAAGAAATACATTAACCGACAATCATCAGTTATTGAAATTAGGTGAGATTCTTCATGTACATTCAGACTTCCCTTACTTCTTCCCCGTTCTTCGTTGTTGTTGTTGGTTGGTTTCTTTTTTTTGCGTGTGTGTGTTTTTTTTTAATGTAAAAGAGGACTCTTGGGATTGGATGCCTATATATTTTCCATAAAATTTATCAGAGGAAAATATGATTTTACATAAAATGTTCTGCATATATCCTTTTTATCTGACTTGTGGTTTATTTTGAATTTTATCCTGTCATTTACAAGAATTTCTAAATAAATAAGAGGATATACAGGCCAATTATTTTTAAATCACTTGATTCTAGTATAAGGATTCTCTGACAGATTTTCTTTGAATAATTAAAATAAGTAAGCACTAATCTTCAAAAGACACTACAAGAGAATGATACATATTAATTAAAGAAATGGCATATTGATCATAAAGTTTTTAACATCAACCACAGAGATCCTTTCTAGTTGAATAAAAATAAGATCAAAAGATTGAAAATTCAAGAAATGTGAATTTTCATTGTAACATATAAGCTATAATTATTTTATTTTCCACTTCCATTTTATTTTCCATATCTACATGATCTATAAGCCCAGTTGTTTTAGACCATAAAATGAGATCATCATGACTGCATGGAGCTCTCACACTTGTAATTGTATGGAATATTATGAGGCAACTGTATTACACAAGCAATATCGAGCTGAACATAGTAATTTCATAAATGTTTATACAGAAATTCAAATAAAAACCTATTGCAAAACTTAAAGAATCTTTTTTTTTTAAATTATTAAAATTTAATAGTTATATATTTGCTTCATAATTTTTTAAACAAATATTTTAATAAGGGAAGGGGGAGAATACCCGCTAAGGTGTATGCATTCCTTGACAGGAAGTTGAAAATTTGAAGCAAATTGACATGTCCAGGCTCCAGCCAATCTTAACAAACTTGTTTCTGATAGATTTAACTAAGCTCCCTAATTCATATATACAGTAAGAACTTGATTATAATGAAGTCACAGAAACTTTGAACTCTGTCTTCTTATAAAAACAAAACTCTTCATATCTCTTATCAGTGCAAACTCCTCTACAAGATTCATAAAAGGTTCCTTCTAGCTGAAATGTCCTTTAATGAAAGTTCATTTTAACAGAGTTTTACTGTACATGGGTCTAGTACTTACTTTCTCCATCATACTGAACTGGGAGGGGTAGGGCTTACAGGGGAACACCACCTCCACCCCATGAATCATCTGTCTCTTCTCAGTGGCCATTTCTGCCCTACAATCAAAACAATAAATAAGTAATCATTTCAGTCAGAAAGGGTCAAGGGCTATCAATTTCATAATTTGTTGAAAACATATTTGCTCCGACATCATAAACATGTACTTTTAAAATTTGTCTGCGTAGCGATATAAATTCTCAGAGGAATTCATTTTCACCATTTGATTTTGATAAAAAACTTATAAATAAAAAGTTATAGCCTAACATCAGAACTGATGGGGCTTTCCAATATACTTTTAAAGCTGTACTGACTTATTAAAATCCTTTTCCAAAAAAATTTAAGATTGTTGTCACAAAGTTGCATAAATGTTAACATGAATAGGTGGATCAAACAATTTTTTTTCCTTTAATAGATAAAGAATTTTTTTTAGATTTTCATTGAAGAATGAAATGTTATTTAATTGATATTGATTTTTTTTTCTCTGAAATGCATATGGCAAGTTGTCATATACTGTATACAAGGACATTTTCGCCCAAAAGTCATTGTATAGCTCTAGTAGGGTGTATGCCCTAACCTTACCAGTTTCACGACTCTTGGTCCTTGTTTTATGCACAATACTGTAAACACTATCCTGTATTATTGGCATTAGCTTTCACAATAACATTGACAGAAAAGTGAAAACGGGGCAAATATGTTTGCAAGTCTGAAAGGGCGAAAATAAAGAAAGGCGAAAATAACCCTGTATACAGTATGCTGATGTCAGGCTACAAACAAAAAATAATATTGTCAGCAACCAAAATATGCAACTTGTTCAATTTTATATTGAGAGCATACAATCTTTTTTTCATTGTGTGGTCCATCTTACAGTCATGGATATTTTCAGGCTAATTAGGTTCCCATGCTTTATTTAGGATGAAAACACAAAACGCTAATATTTTAAATGGCTCCATATGGCAATATTGTCATAAATGCAGCATGTCCAGTACAATCAAAAAACTATATATGCGGTATATTGCAAAAAAAACTATACTTTGAAAATCTCTTGAAATGTGCTGAACTGTATAAATTGTATGAGAAAGATAAATTAACAAAATATATTATAGTTTCAAAGTAGGTTATTGACAATTCTAATGCAATTGCTTTGTAAAACGCTTTTTGATTGGCTAATGCACTGATGTTTGAAGCAGTAAAACGATAGCATTAACATGAGTGAAAGCCTTTCATTGTGACGTCATAATAGAGCAACGCAAAAACACGATGCTCCGTTATGTATTTTTATATAACGAAACTCAACAAATAAGACGTATATAACAAACAAAATGCATGGATTGCATTAGAATGGGAATAACTAACCTTCTAATTTGGTATTTGTGACTGTCAATGCTGATTTAACGATCACAAACATCCGTTTTACTGGCTCCGCTTACGCATCGCTGGTAAAACTCAGTTTGCGACCATTAAATATTAATGATGTTCCAATCATCGATTATAATCGAAAATCAGTCAATTGCTGGCATAATTAACTCTCAAAATATATTATATTTTTATTCAAATCGAGTTATTCTCTTTAATGCAATGGTTTTGTAAAACGCTTTTTGATTGGCTACGATTGCCTATTAAGTTATTTGTGTATCGTAATGGCACAGACAAACAGACATGATATTAATACCTGGGTAACAATGCACATTCACGGGTATGGGCATATTTTTATATAACGAAACCATGCAACAAAGAAGACGTATATAACAATGATAAATGCATGGCTTTTCCCGAGACTCAGATTATTCAACTACACCTGGGCCACCACAGAAAGTAGTTATTTGCCCATTCTTATCATTTAATAAACTAAATTGACAGACTTTGTAAATGTCCAATTTTAATTGATAATTAGTTAGTTACAGCAGTCGGATCATTGACTATGAAATTCTTACCGATTCCAATCACTAGTAAATATGTTCATTTTCAATGTTATCATACCCTGCGGCTTTACCATTTTTAAGCTTCTGAACTTCAACAGCCGCTATTATTTCAAATTCACTAAAGCTGGTTCAAGCCAGCTTCATACTATAAATAATGAAAAAAAATTGATTGAATATTTGACCTTTGTTTTATTTTTTTTTTCTATTAATTTGTATGAAGATATTTTTCCCAATTTCAACCAAATATAGCTATTTTTCCCAATCTTGACAGCCCCGGCCCCTGGAATCAAAGGGTAAAAAAATCCCTGTGCTTTTTATTCAATGCAGACATAAAATCACAAATATATGACTATTAATATTTACATTTGGAGTGTTTAAAACAATTTAGAGCAAAGATTGTTTATACATTACAGTACTGATTTTGAATACTTTTAAGCAAAAGATGTATTTCTATTGTTTAATACCTCAACAATTGTCCATCACCTTGTGTGCGGTGAGGTGTGGATAAGTATAATTACCTCACACTGTGTTCAATAATTACCAATTATCCATTAACATATTGATTAAATAATCAGAACTGGTCTTCTTCTATTTTCTTCTTTGTTATTTCACTCAAGAAGTAATCATTTGGTCACAAATCAACTGTTGTACATGTATATAGCCCCAAAAACTTTCAGAACTTTGATTGCAATTGCGCAGAAAAAGACACATTTTCAAGAGAGAGTTTTTTTTCTGAATTGTGTTCAGATGAGATGGGTTATCAGGTCCAGTCCAAAGACTATTTCTACCTACGTAGCTATTAATAGCTACCTAGGTATTTAAAGCTACCCAAAGTAGCTATTTTTACCTACTTTTATTTTCTGCATTTTGCAGCCAAGGCCATCCTTAAAAAATTGTTTTTTTGCGGTAACGCGACCGACTCACCAAAATCCACCCGACTGGATTTTTTTTATCGGTTCAAAAATCTTTCTTTTTTTTTTTTTTTTTTAACGTATCCATTTTCCGTTTTTATCCGATTGATTTTTTTTTACGTCTCGGTTACACCGACGCTTTATCTTTCCCCCAAGTACTATTAAAACGTCTTTGTGATCTACAAATTTTGGCGTCCGAGAAGGTTGCGGGAAATATTGACTCTATAGTTCTGTCAGTTAATACAGTAAATTTTAAAGGAAAAACATCTTAATTACTAGGCAAAAAAAATGTTGTGCGTCACCTTATGACATGGTATGATGTTTACGAGATCGCCACAAAATTGGTGGCAGACAAAATTCCACGTGGGATGATTGCGGATTTGCAGCTAATTAATAAACTATCAAATCTTAAACCTCGTAAATATCACATCCCCGAAACACTAGATTAGTGTGGAGTCAGTTATTTGAGGTACGTGGCTGATGAGAGTCACTTTCTTAGAAAAAGTTTGCCTAAAAAGAACTGATGTGTTCTGATATTTGAGCAATAAAAGATTGAATTCATTTAGAATGCTTTAATTTTCCTATTTGATAAGTAAGGTGAAAATTGAGACATAGTTAATACCTCTATATCATCGAAATTTATTTCTGACATTTTGTCTCAAAAAAAAAAAAAAAGCCTACCTACCTACTCACACCTAAAATGATGAGGCGCGTTACCGCAAAAAATAATTTTTTTAAGGATGGCCCAAAAGACTAAACGGCGCAACATGGTGAATACCATATTTTTCGATACGGTCACACTTATGATGAATACGACAAAATTTTGGCCAAAAAATGATTACTTCCTGAATCGGCAATTTGACATTAGTTTCTATACAAAATTGATAATATACGAAGTAATAATTATTTGGCCAAAGAACTTTATGCGGTAGTAACCAATATTTGCCCCCCAAATCAAACTTTGATGGAGTAATATTTAATTAAGTCCTTGAACAGGGGAGTATATGCTGACTTCAAAGCACTGAATTATTTCATAAGTAATGACGTCATATGTATGTAATGACGTCACAAAAATGACGTAAATTTCAGTTTTTTATGAATTATACAGAAAAATGTACATATTTCGTCGATATTTTAAATAAAAGTCACCGAGCGCATGTGTGTTCAGGATAAATATTTTGATATGATGTGTAGAATCATAATATCAATGAAATATGTCAATATTGTTCCTGAACACACATGCGCTCTATAAATTCTAAAGCTAAAATTGTTGAAATTTTGTCCATTTTGTCCTCTTTCTGAAAAAGGATATAAAATCAGACTAGTTTATGACGTCATAAAAACAAAAATTGTGAATACACTGCTTTTGAACTATAATATTTTCTGTTAATTTATATTTCTCGTACAATTAATTGAATTCAGCACATTTCAGAAAGTTTTCAAAACTTGACTTTTGTGGGGGCAAACATATGCAATATACCGCATATAGTTCTTTTTGTCATATTCATCATCAGTGTGACTGTATCAAGAGATTTTGTGCTCACCATGTTGCGCCGTTCCTGCATTTGGCCACAAAATGCAAGTAAAGCAGAAAGTAGGTAAAAATAGCTACTTTGGGTAGCTTTAAATACCTAGGTAGCTATTAATAGCTACGTAGGTAGAAATAGTCTTTGGACTGGACCTGGTTATCACTGCAACAGTGCGACTTTCTGCATATCCTAAGAAAAATGATAATTGAAGAAAATGAACTGTTTTGGTAGCTTAAAAAACTGCTTTAGGTAGGTAAGTAAAGCTATGTATGTAATTTAAGCTACGTAGCTAAATCTAGTGATTGTAGTGTATCCAGGGATGTCCCTGATCAGGTACCTGGTTAGTACAAATACAGGATACATACCGATTTCGTCAACATGCATGTATATCAGTAACGGAAATCGAACAGAAATGAACATACCCTACCTTGAATGCTTTTTTCTTAGAATATTTCTTTAAAAACCTAATTGATGTTTAAAGTATCCATGTAAATGTTTGAACTTTCTGTTTTAATTATTTTTATCTTTCCCTCCATATTTTCCGTATTTCCGGTTCAATCTTAAATCCAGAATTTCGAGTCCGATATAAAATCTATGCATTCTTTGAGTTATCGTTCGTTGCGCACTATCTGCTCATAAATTTATTTATATCACAAAATCGAAAAAAAAAACAATGTTGAATCCTTTAATACCACCTGTAACACTCACAGTCAGGGACATTTACCAATTACACATTAAAGTTTGTTTATTTATACGTTAAAAAACACAAAGTTGTCGACGTCCCAACAATCGGAGTTTATTTACATTACATTAGATGTATCATAATGATTTATGACTTTGGGTTTTAGAATTATTATTAAATCATTTTAAATCTATGCAATTTCAGGAAAAAAAATATTTCAAAATTTTATGCTAATGAATATTTAAAAAATCATGCCCAAAAGAAAATAAACAAACAAACAAAATTGAAAAATAAACAATTTTTTCCAAAAATATGTTTAATTAAGGTATTTGAAATTCCTTTTAATCAAATGGAAAAAATATGTGAATAGGTTATAAGTACATATAGTCTACTGTGATTTTCATAAGGATTTTTGATTTTTTTTTTTAATATATACATATTTTTAAGCACTAGTAATTAGACGGATTAAAGTTCTCAGTAAGAAGTCACAGTTCTCTTGGACTGAATAAATATAAGAAGATGTGCTTCTCAAATTATGGATTTTACATGGACGCCTAGTAAACGCATAGAAAGTTAATTTTCACACAAAGCAAGAGATAAAACATTAATTTTCGATACAGACTGAGGCAGCACGCGTCAGGACTATTTGCCTTCCAATCGAGACTAGGGCCCGACGTCTACCTAGACACTTAGAGAGCTGTTTACCGGCTCTTCAGGCCACAGACGAGAGCCTTGTATGCGAGAATTGGGCGTAGTGTTTATAAACTTTTGTCAACTTTCGCCTTCCATAAAGCTCTCCAGTCCTCATAAAAATCTCAAATTAAACCTGTAGCCGTCTGGGGAGGGGGAGCGGAATACGTAACGGAGACATCGGGATTCCTTTCTCGACATTTTTTTTCTCCACTGGAGATGAGGGTGGATGTCTGGGAAGTGAAGATAGAAAATATCATGCAATGTTATCAGTGTCAAGAGAAAACACTCCATACCTAGAACACGACAGGTACTTGAAAACGCCAATCGAACGCACCCGTTTATACAGGAGAAAGCAGTCTGTGATTGCAGACATTGGTCGAGAGCGAAATGAAATACTTATGTGCAAACAACGGAGGAACTTCCTCTTTTATTCTAGAATTTCGGAAAACAATTCTGATGAATAACCGGAAGGAGTAGGAGGAGTTTATTATTATCCGTCTTGTCGTCTGATTAGTAACTTGTAAGACCCAAAGATAAAAGATTTATTGTAGCCAACAGAAATGCATTTAACTTTTTGAAAAATTTTGATAAACCAGAATGTTTTCATATTGTAGAATAAAATATATTTAATGAATGAGAAGGTGGGAGTCATTTTTTAACCTTCTATGCCCACGTGAATGCATCTATAAAACTACTTCTCATATTTTCTTTTTTGTGTTCATTTAGTTGCTACATGTACATGTACATTTGTCAATTTTTGTCCATTTTTGATACATTTACCCATGATTGCTACTTTTGCAATTTTTTCAACATTTGCCCATGTTTGCTATATTTACCAATGACTGCTACATTTGTCAACGTTTGCCAGTGTGGGGGAGGGGGGGACAGGTAGGAGTAATTATCGAACATGTAGTTACGATATAAAGTCAACAAATATGTCAGCATAATCAAGGAACAGCAAGAGGGAATTAGGCCTGACATATTAAAAAAGTGTCTGATAAAAGAAATACACAGGCTGTCAGCTTATTACTAGTACATGTATTTATTCTCCTGAAACTTAAGGAAGCTCTAAACAGTGCACACTAAAGAGATCTATTTGTGGGTAGTTTTATGTCATTAGAGTGATCTGCCCTTAGAAGTAAGATATAGAAAAAAATGATTATTTACAGTTTACCCAATCTATGTTGGATTAAAATATTCTTAACATTATATTAGACCATCCAAGAATAAGTAATTGAATTCATTATTTCCATTAATTTACCCAATGTTAGCAAACAGCATGCAGTGATTTCTGTTCACAAGCAGTTAATTGTCTTTGGACATTTTTACTGCGGAAGTACAATGTAAGACAGGTACCCTGCGTTCAAAATGAACTACACAGTCTCAATATGCAAATCTCGATATGATATTTTTTTTTCTCCAAGTCCAAGAAACACTTTTTATTAGTATATTTTACCAATTATAAGATGAGACCCCAGTGATGCTGTTTATCGATACCAATCATCGTGTATAAGTTTGTAAACAACACTCAGTTTTGTTTACAAACTTATATACGATCTTATTTACATCTGAATGTGAAGGACTTTATACAACTTGTACATTTCACATTATTAAAAAATGTCAAAATGGGAAGGAAAAGGTGTGCATGTTTGTTAAAATTTATGATGATTAAAGGATAAACTGGAAAATACATGATAATTCCACCCCCATAAAAATGTTAAAATAATTCAATCTCTCATTCCAATGTTGACATTCCAGAACATTATAATAAGGAAACAATGATGATGGATAGCATTGCGTCATAGGAGAGACTCCACGTGTCTAGAAAAAGACCTCTTGGGTTCCTGGTGAGGCCTCGGGTTGTGACATCTTGAAGGCTAAGTGCCAGCATAATCTGGATGCTTTCTCTTCTCCTCCTCAAGTGTTCAAATTTTTATAATGGTTCTCAATGGGGGAACAGTGATATTTCTTAAAAATACTTGACTTTAATTCTGCTTTTAAAACGTCCATTAGTTTTGGGGTGCTAAAACCCACAGCATTCTTGAGATGGAGTTGATTTCTTCTCATTGATTTAACACGTTGACTTCAAGATGTGATGATTTGCGGAAACGACCCCAGAGTTTCGGAATGTAAACTTGTTTGTTTTTGTCGCCGCTTCATTTCACTGTTAAGTAAAGACTCCCATTAACTGAACAGTTTCATTCATAAAAAAAGGTTACATAGAAAGCACGTATAGAATATCCCCGCATGTTTTTAAAATTGCCAACAGAAGGAAGTTTCGTGCACAAAAAAGACCCTTCTACAATATTCTCAAGCATGGGAATAGTATATGCACGTTTCTTGTTTTCACCTATTTTCTTTTTTCTTTTTTTTGTATATTAAATTGATTAATTCACACCTTTTATTTTGAATTAAAACATTTACATTGCATCTTTTAAGGCATAAATCACGAAATCTGAGTTGACGCTGACAATTCACATTTAGAAATTGGTCAACAATATTTTTTTCTTCCTGTTTCAGATAGTATTTGAATGCAATTATTCCGCCTTCTTACACCTCAGCTTATAAATAAGGAAAAAACTTCGACAACAAGTCAAGAAAGACGTTAATTAGGAACTCATTTCACACCTTTATAAGGAAATGTCGTGGAATTCAGGGAATAATTCCAGTCGTCCATACAAGTATTAGAGAGAGAGAGAAAGAGAGAGAGAAAATGTCAACCGTCATATTTGATAAAGCTAAATGCAGTGACTGAATTGAAGAACTATAGAAGAGCTTGATCCTAACACCGACCTACCAGACCCCGTCAAACTGTTACTTTTCATGCCACCTAAACACCTCCAACCAATCTGACAATTTGAAGTGAATATTTTGATCTGATACGCAATAAAGATTCTTATCTAGAAGATGACATCTATTCAATCCCTTTCAAATATGTTTTTCATTTTTCGTTATATGTCACAGTATAACACGAGATTGACTATTTGTTCTTTAAAACTGGCCCATATGCCAGGCGCCTAGCCTTAATAATTACTATTATATATAAAAGCAATTAATTTTTTTTTATCGAGAGAGGATATTCAAAGATTTTTTTTGGAGATTTCTTATAAACCATGAATACTTCCTAAAGTACTTAATGGAAACTGTCTTCATAAGGTACCTAACTGTATGCACAAATAAGATGTATTGGTTAAACTCTAATGCCTCGTATGGCAGCTTATGGCGAGGGTTACAATTTCTCAAATGTATGTCAAACTGAAAGTCAAGGTCAAGAGATAAAAATGTCATTACTCAAACAAACAAAAGATATATATCAATGAACCTTTGTGAAATTTGGAGGTCCAAACACCAACTATTAAAAAATTATGGCAAATATTTATTTTTTTTAAAAAGTGAGCAAAACTTCAAGGTCAAGGTCAAAAGATAAAAAAATAATGGTACCCAGGGGAAGGCCTTGTAAAGAAATATTAGCCTTAAGCACCAGCTATTCAAATTTATGTTCAAGGTTTAAGTTTTCAAAAGAGTGTCAAATTTTTAGCGGGGCTTATTGCTCAAAGAGCAATTGCCGGCTTATGTGATCCTATTCAAGGCAGGATGTTAACCCCATAGTCGCCATTTCAAAGTTATGTGCAAAAATATAGTTCTTACTCTCAGCCGCTTTTGAGATAATACAAACGCTAAATAAAGCAACAAAAATAAAACGAAGTTTTATCTATATAAAATAAACATTAGTAGTAATGACTTTGAAAACTTCATAAGTCAAAGAACATAGTTCATTAGCGTAAGGATTTTTGATAATCAGTGTTACCGTAGTTCTCTACACATACGAGGTAAAGCAGGAGAGGGAACCAGACTGGCCTGTTTGTTTACATTCAGCTGCGGTACCAGATTAATTTTGATTCTGACAAAATCGAATTATATCATCCAGACGTTTGCGTTTACCTCCACAAACGTTTGTGGAGGTAAACGCAAACGTCTGGATGATGCAGACTAACCGTGGTATTAGGATTGAAAAACCCACTGTCAGTGTCTTATCATTTATATTGATAGTTTTAAAATAATTTTTTCATCAGAATATAAACGTGATTCATGTAAGAAATCCATTCTACTCTGTAAATGAGCCCGG